TAATTGAGAATGTCTTCTTAATTACTTGTAGTTTGTAAAAAAAGCTTAGAATTGACCCTATATTTGAAGTTGAATCTACGCTACTTTAATTGGATTTATCTAGCACACCCAAGGGGGGAAAAACAAGCATTGCTTTGTGGTCTTTTAGGGCATCTTTCTCAACAGAAACATTGTGTCCAATTAGATCAGATACTGCCAAAAATAATGTAATCAACATGAAATTAAAGTGGTTTAATCTCTTTCTTTTTGTCTTTCCACATCATGCTAGTAACTATTTAAGAACAGTTTCAACCCTAAAAAATTGTTCATGTTCAGTGTAAAAGTTTGCGCTCTTCCAAGATACTTCCTTAGCATGTTTCTTTTTGGACATTAATGGAGAGCCAAATGATAGCTTCATTCTCATATGTTTTCTTCATCTCTTAAATAATTGGTAACTTTCAAACCAATATGTATGAAATTATTAAAAGTGGCAAACACAATGACCATAGTTCGTTGTTATTTATCTTACTTGTAGTACGGCTCTTTCCGTCTCATTTTAGTTGATTGTTACTTTGTTACATTTATTTTGATTTTCCTAATATGTCTTCAAGATATATTTTTGATCATTTAATGATTAATTCATTAGATTATATAATATTCCGTAATAGAATTACTAAAACTCGATAATTATTTTGAATGTATATACTAGCTTATAGAATGCCTGTAGTTTTGATTGTACATATCTATTTACCCCATACATTTGTTTCTTTAAGTTGATTTTTATAATTTTTTATAATATGTATCTAAATTATTAATGTTCAAATATAATGTATGTACTAAAGGGAATATTAATTACGACCATATAATTAATAAGGTTGTTTGCGAAGTTAGACATATAGATTAAATTAAAGTGGGGGGAGAGTATGAAGACGATTTTGGCATAATAATAATGTTGCTAGCTTAAGCCTACAACATAAAACTTGATACAAGTTTTTAGTATTTATATGAAATTCATATTGCAAAATATAAGCATAATCAACTAAGGATCTATTAGATTAATTGATATGAGTATTATTTTTCAAACTTAACTTCATTTTTAATTTGCTTCAAAAGGGTACATATATATTCATCGTTTATACTGGTGTTGCAAATCTAAAACTTGTATATTAAAAATAATAGGATGAATTGAAGAGTTAATTGTTCCAGGTTCAATAATCTTGTTCGAAATCATCACACGTAAACAAGGTTTATTTATTTTTATAAAAAAAAGTATGTACATCATACATTATAAAACCAACTATTGTCTTTTATACAAGTACAAATTTTATAAAAAGGAGAAAAAAAAAATGCGCTAAACCGCCAATTAATCTTTCATGATCCGTTTAAAGCATCATTAACCCCTTTTGCAAGCACATAAAACTAGAAATACATTAAAGTCCTTAAAGAGAACAACAATGATCCCCTTCAAACCAAATAAACTACCACCTTCAACAACCAACTTAAGACTAACGAATCAACAAAATAATATTATAATCACACTTTATTTATACACAAAGACAAAGTGGTAACTTATAATTATAACGCATAAAAGTTAATTAAGTTTATGTTTAGCATAAATAGTGGAAGTAAGAATGTTGATTTATAGGCTAAGTTGAGCTAATTAGACTTCCATGTCATCAAAGGAACAAAAGGGGCCGAAAGCATATTAATGAATAGGGACATGATAAGTATGGTGGTCCTTCAACTTTGTAGTTTTTCACTTATAACTATAAAGCCAACCTTTAAATTCTTAATTTTTTTAATTTCATTTTATTTGCATAAATTTCATCATTTTCACACCTTGTCTTTTGAGCTATACCTTATACTTAAATTTAGGACGTCCATTATAATTGCTTCATACAATACACACAATTTTATGATAGTTGATAAACCCTCTTTTACATTCTTTTCCTCTTATGTTGTCCATTGTTCAAACACTCTTGGCATATTTGTCCCTTAAGCCATGAACCAAGATGGAAAAGGCAAAAAAAAAAAAAAAAAAAAAGGAATTTTGAATGCTTTCCTGTTTTGCTATACATGTTGATCTATTCTAGCTTTGTACTGTGTTTTTGACGATGATTAAAAAATAAAAATATACAAGTAATTGTTAAGGAAAAAAAAAATAATAACATGAAACACATTTTGCTGGTAGAGTGGTAAATATTTAAAGTAAAATGCTAAAGGTTTAAGGTTTAGACGATAAAAAGTGTATCAACTTAAAGTAAAATGTTAAAGGTTTAAGGTATGAGAAATTTTTTGCTTTCTTCCATGCATGTTGATATTGTAATTACATTGTTTCTTTAAAGGGTATCTTATTTACCACGGTTATATATAAACTAACTAAGGATTAAAAAACAAAAAGGTTTACAATGACATAATAAACTATGGAGTATTAAGGTAAATTGAAAATATGGGAGGTATCTAGGTACCTTCACCTATTGGTTTTTTCAATTCAAGCCCCATAAACTTAGCAGTAGCAGTAATTAATTAATGTAAAATATCCCTTAATAAATTAGATTACTCTAAACTCATAGTTTTATAAAAAGAAAAAATTCTCTGACTCCCAAGTACCTTTTTTTGCAATGTAAAGGAGACAAAACCAACACATAACCCACTTTTGCCATGTAATTGGATCATCAGCAAACTTTGTAGTAATGATGATTTTGCCTAAAACAGCATTTTAAAGAGATTCAATTCAATCAATTATTCACAAGTTCACATACAAACATGATTATAACAAACCTTACACTTGAAAAGATTATTTCTAGTATCTTCAAATCAGTGCAAATGCATGCAACCCTTTACTTTTGCACATTCTCCAAATCTAAATTACAATTGGCCGCATAAAATGTATTGTAAGGTTCTACACTACTTCTATTGTCATTTTTTTATTTAGTAAACTACTCGTTTATATGTTAAAGTAGTAACCTCTAATAATAATAATAATAATAATGTAACTTGATTAGTAAAACCTAAAAAATTATTTCTGTTCAGCAAGGTCATGATCTCTCCACCTCAGTAAAGTACGGAGTAATCTTTAGCGAAAATCAATTTTGATAAGCAGTCATATTTAGTTTTAGCCAATATATATAACCAGTAACTTGAATTTCACATTACATAAAATACTACTCCGTAGTAAGCTAGTATAAAACTAGTTTAGATAGCAAAAATAAGTTGCAATTACGTAAATATCAAATTTAATCTATAAAATATACCTAGTTTAATTAGTAACAATAATTTCAATTTACTAAAATTTAGGTGAAACGAACAAAGCTTTGACTCTTTTGTATTCCTTTCTCAACCTCTAACAATCAACTAAATAATGTATTTAATATCAAGGATAATCATTTTTGCAACACGAATAGACGAGTAATACTTAATAATTGAGGTAGTAATAGCTTTCGATGAACCCTATACCCAAATTAAAGTAGATAAGTAGATAAAGCATTAAGTCACTTGTAAAGTAATGTTATATTAGCAAACTTTTCCTACTTTGTTAATCTTAATAGGAAGAAGATATTAATGTGCTTTTCGCTATTATGTTACCCTAACTTTAATCCGTGTAATTAGCAGTATTTTTAAGGAAACTTTCTAATTAAACAAGTTTTAATTAGTTTATACGAAAATTAAGAATTAGCAAAAACGAGTAAGAAGCAAATCTTTTTGTGTTTCTCATGTGAACTTAAAAAAAGTGTAGTTATTTGGCGTGCTTTTATAAGTCTTGAAAAGGTCATTTTTTAAAAATGGTGTTTACACACTTTGAGTTTTATGGCCATTATTATTTTGGGCCTGGGCCCAATGACGCTAGCACTTTAAAACCAAAGGCAAAGAAAGTGGTTTTGTCCTACTCATGATGACGTGGAAGGTACTTGGACTTCCATGACTTGACCAAGAAAACCACTTATTCCCTCCATTAGTGCATCCAAAGCTTCAAACTTGTATTCTACTAACGAGTTCTACCTTTTTACAGCAATTGTACTTCGTAGATGATTTAGTTGGTATGTCAATTTGTAGAAAGATTTGAGTATACCAAAGCTTTTATTAGTCCTATGTGTTAAAAAGTAATCAGGTTGATCCGCTAATACGAGTGACATTTTATTACGTGAATGATTTCAATCAACAAAAATATATTATTCAAGTAAAATTAGCTCTAATGAAAAATTATGTGAAAGACAATGCATATTTCATATTAGTAAGACATGAGTTGTCATCCTAAGTCATACTTCCTCTGTTCCACAAATATTGCAACAAGGATGAAATTACGCATCCCAAAACACATTTTATATGTTAAATATCTATAATTATATAAGAGTAAATATTATAAAGAGTTGATATTATGAAAGTATTTTACGAAACGAATCTAACAAGACCCCACATGACTATATTTTATTTTACGTATAAATCATAATTTGTGGTCAAACAATCATGATGAATAATGCAAAAATCCAGTTGTTGCAATATTACTAGAATGGAGGAAGTATAATACAAACGCAATGGCGGATGACAAGGAATAATTACATACTCCATTCGCATTAGATTCAATAAGATGAACTACACCTACAAATTTTATGACATGCATAATTACTTAATTAGTTTCATAAATTACTATGGACATGTTTATTGGAGAAATAAGGGGGATAAGAAAACAAATTCTTAATATCTTGAATAGTAACACCATGTCTAAAGGAGTTGATTCCACGACCAAATTGATAAGGTGGTACCTATCAATTATTACATTCACTCTCCAGTGAAATGAATGGAAACAATTTACTTATAGAGCATTTTAGTTACCATAACCAATTTGTTTATTATTTGTAGGTATTCACTTAAGTCTTTCCTATGTTATTTTCATCAAAAGAAAATATAAGACATTTTTTATAAGGGGGTAATAAAATTTACCAATTTCACTCAACCTAAGTTTTTACCTTGTGTTTTTATGGTCTTATTGGTCAAAATAGTGCGGTTTATAGCTATTTCAGCCTTTGACCCATTTTCTAGCGACAACTCACTCCTAGCCCAAACCGAGTTACAATTATGACTTATAACTCGATTGGCTCATGATCAACTCTATAGCTCTACCACACATAAACATTTTTATTACTTGTACCTTTATTGAAAAAAAAAACAATAATGTGAACAGGGTAAGTGATGCTTATGAGAGCAAGGGTCCCACAAGGTTGGAATTTTAGAGGAGCACTCCAGACAAGCAAACTCTTCATTCTTTCGGTGTTGCAAAATTGGACTGCCTGTCCCCCTTCTCCATCACCTATATATACCTTCTTCCTCCCTCTCTTTCTTCTCCTCTTACACTCATCTTTTTCCCTCTTCTTTCCCGCCTTTCTTCATCTTCGTTTTTCTTACCCTGTAACCGCAATTCTGCACTTTCAGCCGCCAAATTTGGTAAAAAAAACACTAACTTGAACATTTTTAGCTTCTGGGTACTTCAAAAGTTTGCAACTTTGGTAAATTTAGCTAAGTTTTCATAGTTTATAGCTGAATTAAACTTGTGGGTTTCGCTTAAACTTTAGATTTTTTTAGTAATTTGAAGAGGTTTTTTGTTTTTAATTGGTTATAATTGGGGAATTTAGTGGGGGGATTATTTCTTGACCCACTAAGATTAAATTGAAGGACTTTGCCAGAAAATGATATTGTTGTATAAAGGATGCATTTTATGGGAATTATTTACAGTTTTTGAGGCCAAATATTGTATTGGGAAGAGTTTCTATTTTTGGATTTTTAAGATTGTAAACAGGTGTAACATGGGCACTTAGCTATAGATTTAGACACCCACCAACTGTTTGTGGAATTGCTTCTTTGAGTGAGTGTACTGTTGTGTTTTCTTTCCCCTTTGATAGAGGTTGACTTGATAGTAGTTAGAGCGTTTTTTAGAAGGAGTGACATAATGGAAGGTGCGACATTACCACCCGGTTTTCGTTTTCATCCTACTGATGAGGAGTTGGTTGATTACTACTTGAAAAGGAAGGTTGAAGGGCTAGAAATCGAGCTCGAAGTGATTCCTGTGATCGATTTTTATAAGTTTGATCCTTGGGAATTACCAGGTAATATAGCACAGTACCATTCATTTTTCAAAAAGTTGATGCTGAGAGTTGAATATTTTATGTCATCTTGCCAGAAAGATTTTGTCAATTGCATATCTATTATGTTTCAGATTTCAAATGAAGCCTGCTTAACTACTAAAAAGCATGTTTTCTCCCTGAATTTATATGATATATTTTTTTCCTTATTAACTTTAGATTACTCATTACATACTAGATTATTTTTAGGTGGGGTATCAAACTTTCTACTCCTAAAGCCAATTGAATCGGCTTTGTTTTATTCTTCACTTGCTTTGCATATGATTATGAAATATTTTTTAATCATAAAAAGAGAAGGTTCTTTGATCCCTTTTCACATTTTGATATGCATGATCTGTAGACAAATCATTTCTTCCCAAACGCGATATGGAGTGGTTCTTTTTCTACCCAAGAGATAAGAAGTATCCAAATGGCTCACGTTCAAATAGAGCCACCAGGGCTGGCTACTGGAAAGCCACTGGAAAAGACCGGAAAGTGGTATGTGAATCCTCTGTGACTGGCTACCGGAAGACCCTTGTTTTCTATCAAGGGCGTGCTCCTTTAGGAAGTAGAACTGATTGGGTGATGCATGAGTATCGCCTGTGTGATGAAATGACACCATATACTAAAGTAAGAAACTCAGAACAGTTGGTATCTCCTAATTCTAACAGAGTTGATCAGCTGATGAACCATATATTAATATCAATCCTTTGTGTGAAATTCCTTCTCCCAGGGAGCTTTTGCCTTGTGTCGTGTGGTTAAAAAGAGCGGTTTTAATGAAGAGGTGAAATCTAAAAGGGCTGGAAGCAGTTCAAGCAATAGAGAGTACATGCCTACTGAAGTTTCAAATGAGCTCTTGAGTGGCTCCAGTGACAATCAGTACAACAGCAGCAACTATTCCACCCCTATTTCTTCTCCTTACATCACACCAAGGGCAGATTTTGAAACAACTGCATCATTGAGCTCGCAGTCTCCAAGCATGTGGGTCTCACCTGATTTGATTCTTGATTCCTCCAAGGTAAAATATTTGGTTTCTTTCGTAAGAGTGCTTCCTGCATGTACTTTTTTTCTTGGTTGATAGGATATTGAAACTTGTTCCTTTGGTGTTGTATGGCTTAATACAGGACTTCTCTCAAGGACAAAATATGGCAACTGATTACATCCCACAATGTGACTTTCAGAATCCAATGTCTACATGGCAGCCTCACCAAGGTATTTCTCCAAGTTCATCATATGCAACTTTCACCGAGATTGAACATGTTGATGATCTTAATCAAATTGGCTGCATGTCACCCTACTCTGCTAACATGGATTGCATGGGATATGATGGAAATATGGGTATGCTTTATGATGGATATGACACAATCAATGCCCTAACCTATCAAAATCCCTTCTGAAACCAATAGGAACCATCACAACTTGTGTTTTCTGTCTTCCAAATGAGAGAGGTTTGGAATATTGCTGGATCATTACTCGGTCTGTGTGGTTCAAGAGCATGACCTAAACAAGGATGCCTGACTCAGTTTTATCTTTTACTGCTATGTAATATGAAAATCATCCAAGACAACGCCTTTTTTGTGTGTTCTTGGTTTGTCATAATCGGAGCTTGAACCTACAGTATGCATGTAACTATGTAAGGTTACATCAGTTTAAGTACTTTATTATGTGTTCAAATCACTTGGAAATTTGTCTTGTGACAATCACTTTTACAAATCGCCTTTAGAGATAATTAGTGGTCCTTGTATGTCTTGACTTAACTTTCCTTTGGCTACTATTTATAAGCTTCATTAACAGAAGCAGCTTATGTACATTTTTCAGTTTTCTGAATTATTGTGTATCAAATTTTCTAGTTATTCTAAAGTGTTATTGTTACTCATTATTTTCTAGGGCAACAACCCTGATTTGTCAACAAGCATGTCTGGCTGTCTGCTTTAACTTAACCTTTTGCATTCTAATAAGACAAATTATTCCTTCAGTCAGAAACCTATTTTACGATATTTTCAATTTTACAATGAATAGTCAGGCAGTACTATTGCAGATCCTCAAAAGTTATCTTCAATATGCATACACTAGTACACCACGCAACCTAGGTGTAACTCGAATTAGGTACACCCACAAGCAAGATTTAGATCTTCAGCGGGTGTATGTAAGAAATTGTAATGCCATCATAGGTTGATGGTGAACTAGACTGTATGGGTGAACAAAGTCTTATATGAGTTGGTCTCACAATAGCATAGTGATACTAGAGTGACTTCATCTATTTCAAGGGATGACTAACTTTTTTAAGGATAACCTTTAGCGTCTCACAATAAGTTAGTGTGGATGTGAGACTGTCCCACCCAAGAGTTGCTTGTCTGAGTGAACTAGTTTCCCTAAAATTTTCTCTTCTGTAGATTTTTGCTGATAAACATTAGTTATTTTTAACTTTGATTGTTGAAAAAGAACTGACCTTTCTATAGCTGTAACTTATTATAGCACTGACATATATTTTCCTGACTACTTATAATTTTGGAGAATTTATATAGACCATAACCAATCATCAGCAAGCGAATTGACAAATGTTGTTTCTCATGGGTGGATGGCTTTAGCCCTTCAAAACTTTTCTCCGTAATAATGCCCTCATATCATGGAATATGGAAGCCTATGCCTATGTTTGCACACCCTGTCTCAATCATTGAATGATAATTATGCAGCACTTTACTCAAAAAAGCAACATTTTGGTTGAGGCTGCTGCACTTAACTTTTTTCTTTGTTACTCGGACTTGAAGTTGAGGTCGGATACTATGTATGAATGCAGCTTGAAAGAAAAGAACTCTGTAAATGAACTGTCCTTCAGCTTTTCATGTTCTTTTACTTTCCTCACAGTTTTTAACATATTATGACAAGATTTAGCATTAATATGCTTTATCTCTTCCTTTCTTTTTTGTCCATATCCTTTTACAGTTTAGTTTACATGTTTTTCATAGTAAAAATCAAACATGTAAGCCCCATCTCCCCAATCCCCTTTATTTTTTCCGGGTTTCTTTTCTTCTTTCTTCTTGTCTTGTCTCCTTTTATCTTTTCAATGTTGGAGATATAGCAAGATTACACTTTTTACCCTTCATAACGACTATTTTAGTTGTGTTAATAATTCATTATGGCATGAAATTGAGATGAAGCTTTTCACAGAACTTTGGTGTGTTACTGTAATACTGTTAGTCTGTTACTGCAGTCTGCAGACATTGTTTCAGTAAGGGCCAGCTGAGAAATCTCTATATATCTTCTGTATAATTAATTACTACATTAACATTTTAGGCATAATTCCTACACTTTCATCTTAAGTATTGATACTTATGTATCTTGTGTTAATTGAACTCTGGCACTATTGTCAGGCACATGTATATTTGTCAAGTGCCCATACCCATGGACTGAAGTGCCAAGGATCGGACATGAGTGCTTGAGGTGATATGAATAGTCCGAGTAACATAAGAATCAACACCCTAAAACCAGGGGTCCTCTAGTCATAATCAGGCAACATCATCACCATGATGCTGCTTCTATTGTAACAAATTATATTGCATCAACAAACACTGATTTGCTTGTGAAGTACTGATAAAAATGAATAGAAACGAGCCAACGTATGCATGCATAATAAAATTTTGGCCCTGCCTTTTCTAGGTGATTGCCATCCTCAGAGTCACTGCAGGGGGCAAATATAATACTGAACCATCAGTCCAGCTGCAGTAGTAGTGCATCAAATTAAAAGGTGACATTTTTGTTAAAGCTACTGCTTTCACCTTTTGCATTGTGACTTAACACTAAGTAGCACCACTTAGCGATCAATGTATGAATGCAGGCTTCAGGAAAGCACCGAGGCTGTCATTTTCAAGTACTCCAGTCCCTTTCTTACTTCCTTTTTCTTTTTTTATCTTTATTTTGCCCCACAAAACCTCATAAGGAAAAATTAATTTTGTTTTAGTAAGATTTATTATTGCTTTATCAATGTTAATATTTGTGCTTAGTTAATTTAAGTAACCATGACTTGCTAGTCAGAAAAAAAACAGGAAATGCAGCATAATATGATTTTTAAAAAATGGTTTAAGTTAAACTTGTTTTGCTGTTGAAATATTTTTCAAATTTCTACATATTTAAAGGTGTGAACACAATGTTTTCTATTTAGGATTTCAAACTTGATGTCAAAGACCCATTTTTTAGTGGAAGAGAAAAAGGCGATGCAGCAACTCGTTTGTGTCATGAAAAAGCTCTGCTGGCCCTTGGATCACTCAGGCAAGTTATGTCATATTCTCTATAAATTGAAGTTTCCTCATTATTCCACTTCCCCCTTCTTTTGAACTCTCCTTTTAGCAAGAATCTGATTAAAGAATTTGCAAGTAATGGACTTTAATTAAAAGCACTGCAAAAGGGCTACATCACTTAACTCTCTTCTTCTAAACCCTCTTAAGATTCTTCAAAATTGGATTCGCCGGCCTCTAAGAACTCTTTCCACAAGACCTATTCATCCTACTGCTAAAAGTCATGGAATAAGTTTGGAAACCTCTTTTGCCACATCCTTCATACCAATTTTGTTGTTTGATGGAGGCGGGGTGATGTCCTTTTCGTGGAATTTGTTTAATCTTCTGATATAATATAAAGTGAAATCTGGTATCAGACTAATTATCCTATCTTTTTGGACAATGTTAGAACTCTGAATTAATTTAAGTAATGCTGTTGATGCTTCTGCTATTATTAGTTAATCCACGAAAGTAAAGTGAAGTCTAGGGAAGTTGGCCACCCATCTAGAAAGCTATTGAAAACTGTTAGTGCAAAGAAATAAAAAGCTCTAAAATGTCTTCATCCATTGATTATTTATCTTGCTGTACAAGGAAGATAATAAACAATACATACGTATAATCTTGCAATGTCTGGACTGCAGAAGACTTGGACCTCTTCAAGGTTTCGTTGAATTCATCCCCGAAGATAGACTCCTTTCCATCAGGTCTCTTAGCATAGGATAACCCCAGCCTAGACTTTGCTTGCCTGAGATCACCTGCACCTGAACTCGGATCAGGTCCTGTAAACACACCCATGACAGGAGTTAGGGGTGGGCCGATGAGCAGTCCATCGGAGCCAAATTGTGGCCCCCCACGGGCATAATCGAAAAGGGCAGCTCCACTGCCCCCAACTTTGGGTAGTATTATTGGATCAGGATTCCCATCCTCTTGCCAGTAAAAGAGGAATGCCTCAAATGTGTCATAGTAATCATCTGTGCTTCTGTAACCTTCTGGATTGAAAGCTCCAAACTTTAAGGGCTTGTTGTTTGTGTAACCTATTATAACACAAGGGCCCTTAAAGTCACAGAATTTGTGGAAGTCGATTGCATTAAATCCATCAATGCTTGCTCTGTAACAGCATTTCAGTTCTCTTCCTGCCAGTCAATATTATTCCCAACAAAATATATTATTAACAGGAATAAGACCAAATTATGTATCTGAATTGCTAGTTTAATACTTCCAACAAAACGATACCGAGATATGACACTAGTGTGGCTCCAGATTTACAGATGTCTAGAAGTATTCAATGTTATCCTTAATCAGTCTATACAGATTATGATAATACGAAGTATGCATAATACATACGGGTTCAAATTTAATCATATGGAATGGGAAATTTAAAAGTTTACTTCTTGAAATATAATATTAAATTGTAGTATATTTTTTGAAATAAATATCATGCATTTTGATGATATAAAGATAGAGAAAAAAGAGGAAACAGTACCATTTAGAAATGTTTTGGAGACCAGAGAAGGTGAGAAAGGAAGATCAATGTCATGGTACTTATGCTGTGGTTTCTCATCAACTTTTGATTTTCCCGTGTTCCATCCAAATAAGTTCCTTGGACTTCCTCTCCACCTGTAAAATACAGTATTTGAGACACAAGCCATTAGTTTTTCCAGATAGATAACTGACCACCCATTTTTATACTAAATAGGATGTATAACAAAAATATCTTATCTTCATGTGTTTGTTGTTTATTTTGTCATTGTTCTTCTCTCTTGTATGATTTGATGTTGTAAATATGTAACAAAACGTTGGTCTTTTGGTCCTTACTATTTTTGAACTTGGACTCTTGGTTGATTGTCCTGTGTTTGGATTGACTGTTTACAGTTTTCAAAATATATTTTGGTAATTTATTTTTTTAGATGTTTATGTTTTAAATAAATACATAAATATCATGTTCTATGCTTATACAGTAGTTATACATCTTAATATCTTGTTGCTGTTCTATGTTGGAATAGGTAGCCAATAGCCATGTAGATTGAGTTATGTCCACACGACCGTGCCATGACGCCATTAAGTTCAGATCAGACTTGGAGCCTAGGAGGTAGAGCTGTCAATTCGGATAAACGGGTTGGGTTTGGGTCGGGTTAGTGTGGGTCGGGTCAGCTCGGGTTGGGTCGTATCGGGTTAACGCGTAACCTATGCAGGTCGGGTTCGGGTTGGGTCATGCTTGAGTCGGGTCACGTTGAGTCGTACATCTTGTCAGGTTTGGGTCGGGTCAATAAAAGGTCGGGTTACATTCGGGTCGGGTCAATAAAAGGTCGGGTTACATTCGGGTCGGGTGAATAATAGGTCGAGTTTAATTCGGGTTTTCACGGGTTAAAACGAGTTAGGGTCATTCTCGAGTTCGAGACAGGTTCGGTTCAAGTCAATAATTTGCGGGTTATAATCAGGTCAGGTCATTCTCGAGTTCGAGTCGGGTTCAGTACAAGTCAATAATTTGTGGGTTATAATCAAGTTGGGTTATTCTCGGGTGCGAGTCGGGTTCGATTCAAATCAATAATTTGCGGGTTATAATCAGGTCGGGTCATTTTCAAGTTGGGTCATTCTCGGGTTCAAGTCAGGTTCGGTTCAAGTCAATAATTTGCGGGTTATAGTTAGGTCGGGTCATTCTCGGGTTCGGGTCATTTTCGGGTTCAAGTCGGCAAGTCAATAATTTGCGGGTTATAATCAGGTCGAGTCACTTCCAAGTCGGGTCATGTTCGGGTTCGGGTATCAAATATTGGGTTAATCTGGGTTTAAGGTTGATTTTAGGTCCGGTCATATCGGGTTCGGGTATATTTTTTGAGTCGGTTAGTTAATAGTTTATGTAATGACGTTCACATTTAATCATTATCAATTTCTTCATTTATTGTAAGAGAAATAATTTCGGAGAAGTTTAAATTCGAGCTAATAAGTTCATGTACGTTTAGATAAGATATATATACATTATAAGTTCATATTATTTCCAGTAAGATAGGTTTATTTTAGATTTTTAAAAGATAAGTTCAACCCCTATTCTGATCTATTAACATTTTTTCCACTCATTTTAGGGATAACAATTTCAAATAAGTTCATGTTCGATATGACATGTTCAAATAAGTTTGGATAAAACACAATAATTATAAGTTCATATAAATTCGGATAAAATAGGTTTAGTTTGGATAAGTTAAAATAGATTCGGTCTGTATTCACAATGCTTCTACTCATTTTAGGGAAAACAATTTAAATAAGTTCATAATTGAGTTTATAAGTTCAAACGGATTTAGATAAGACAAAACAAATTCCAACTTAAATAAGATATCCGAGGTACTTTATTTGAAATTATCTAAACTTTTTTTTTCTTTCTAAACTTATTTATTTGAAATCATCTAAATTTTTTATTTTTTATAAGTTCATATCCGAGTTAACGTTTTTTTTAATGGCATTATTTTTTTTTTTTTTGAAACATTTGAATGGCATGATTTAAAATGTTTAAATAAGATTAAATAGGCAAGTGAATTATAAAATTAGAAAAAAAAAGGAACCAATAAAAGGAGCTTAAATAGTTATATGGTAGTTTCTTAAAAAAAAAAAATAGTTATATGGAAGTTGAAGATAAATTTAGGAAAACAAAAAAAAAACAATATGAGTTGAATTTGGGTCGAGTCAATAACAAGTCGTGTTGATTTCAGGTCGGGTTAGTAACAAATCGGGTTGAATTTTGGGTCGGGTTAGTAATAGGTCGGGTAAAATTCGGGTCAGGTTAGTAATAGGTCGAGTTAAATTCGGGTCGATTTAGTAATAGGTCGGGTTAAATTCGGGTCGAGTTAGTAACTGGTCGGGTTAAATTCGGGTCGGGTTAAATTCGTGTTTTGACGGGTTAAAACGGGTTTAGGTCAATCTCGGGCCAGGTCGGGTTCGGTTTAGGTCAATTATTTACGGGTTGGTTCATGTTCGGGTTCGAGTCTCAAATACTCGGGTTAACTCGGGTCTAAGGTTGGTTTCAGGTTGGGTCATATCTGGTTTGGGTCACCATTTTTCTGGGTTCAAACGGATCGGTTAGTAATCGAGTTCGAATCGATAATTTAGATTAGGTCAGCTTTTGACAGCTCTACTAGGAGGTAGAAACTTACTAGTTACTACTCTCCTTTTTGCTTTATTATTCCTCTCTTTTCTTATATATATAGCCCTACACATAATTTATCATAAGACATGATAGGTTTGATTTAGTAAGGAGTCCACCACCTTACCTTCTTGAAAAAAAAAAATAAAATACTCCGTGTTATTTCATTTCATAATAAATTAATACTGTATAATATTAATATGAAAGTTTGATATACGGTCTATTGTAAAATAAATTAAAGTTAAATTACATATGCAAGATGTTAGTTTGAAAGTTTCTACTAATATATGGTAAATCGAATAGTCATGTTAAATAAATATTTTTCTTTGAACTATACAACAATGGGTCCATAGCTCAGTGGTAGAGCAATTGACTGCAGATCAATAGGTCACCGGTTCGAACCCGGTTGGGCCCTTCTGGCAGATTTTTTCTTTTTTTTGGGCAGAATTTTATCCTTTGACAGTTTTAACATATTAAGTACAATCAATTAGATATCATTCTGAAATCCATTAATTAAAAGTTCAAAACCAAGGGAATGCAGATGATTATGGTAACCATTACTAAAATACTAATTGGTTTATCATCACACTTAAGAATAATGTCATCCCCTGCCTTAAACTCCTTAAACTAAGCTCTCCTACCAAGCTCTTCTACCTCCTCAATGATCCAATCCAACCTAGCAACCGTCTCCATTGTTGGCAGAATTGAAGCTGCTTAGGCAAAAAGTTGGGTGGAGCGGGGTGGTGGGTATCGAGGGTGGGATCAGGAAAGAGGTGAGGTTGAGATTTTAAGGCAGTACCAAGGTCTTTACAGGGTTAAATGTCAGCAAAGAGTTCACCAACCCATAATCATAATTCTTTTTTATGTATGGGAAGAATCTAATATATGTAGCTGATCTGCTGATGTTCCTGCCATGGCAAAATTAAACTATCAGTCAGCTTATATAATAGAACTATAGAAGAAAGTGCTCATAGGATTGAATAGTCGAATATAGCCTGGCCTACAAATAAAATAAACCGCAAATGCAATGAAGATAGCGCGTAAGTGATGATTAGATTTATTGGCAACAAACTCAATGAAAAACGGCAATGATCCAGCCAAAATTGTCCCAAGTCCTCTGTTTGATCCCTTGCATAATGTTGCACCTACACCAACCATTTCATCAAGTACATAAGAAAATAAATAATCAAAGCACCTACCTACAATTTTTGACATTTAAGGTATGTATCAAGCAAGCAAAAAATAAACTGAAGTATTTACATATTCTCAGTAAAACAACTATTTTCATTTAACAAAATATTTACCAACGATCAAAGCAAATATTTCCATTTACCAAAACATTCACCTACTTTCAAAATAAATATTCTCATATTACATACTCCCAAGGTCTTTTCTTAACACCCATGTAAAAACCAAATGTAACAATATAAAAGTGACAGAGGAAATATGAATTATTGAGTCTCAACTCTCAAGTCATCGTTAGATATCAAGTATGGAGTTCAAAGTTAGTCTTGATTAGTCAATAGTATTACACTGAACGATTCTGTACTAGCTTCACTGATTGAGTTATTACAGATGGTCTACATTATATCATCTTCAAGTCCTTGAACTTTCTTCACAATCATCACTTGAATCACCAAAAAATAAAATCTGATAATCTTGCATAATGTTGCCCCTACATTACCATTTCACTAAGTAAATAATACAGCCAGAAATCATCTAAGCACTTGCATACAGTTTTGTTTTAAAGTCTTGAGGTTTGTTAGTTATTAGCTTTTGTTGTCAGTTTTCAAAAGGAACACGAGTAGCAATATGACTTCCGAGTTCCGACTAGTATCAAGTTCACCTCAATACGTCACACCGGTTTGAACCCGATTGGGCCCTTGACAAGTTCATTTTTAAAAAATTACTCGTACTCACTAATTATGTTGAATTTTATTGAATATCAAGTCATTGCGGTAGGTATCCACAAAAATTTCCATTCAACATATCACATGATCAATTTGGATCATTCATAAAAATTCCAAGAAAAAGACAGTCTTCAAACTCGAGGTCGGGACCACTTGCCCTTGCATTGAGTTGATTAGTCTATAGTACACTCAAATAGACTTTAGTACTCCGCCAACTCCTTAGAGTCCTTACTAACTTCACTGATTGAATTAACGTAGATGGCCTACATTATCATCTTCTAATCCTTGATCTTTCTTCACAACCATTCACTTGAATCACCAAAAACTCTGATAATGGCTGAAGTAGTAGTGTTTGGCATTGCAGAGGAAGTCCTGAAGAGTCTGGGATCAAAGGCCCTTGCTGAGATTGCCTCAGCTTGGGGCTTCAAGGCTCGGCTCGAGAAGCTCAAGGATACCATCAACACTATCAAAGGGAAGCTGTTGGATGCTGAAGAGAGGCAATCTGACGATGCTGTTCGTGGTTGGCTTGAGAGGCTTACCACTGTTGTCTATGCTGCCGATGACTTGTTTGATGAGTTTGCTACTATTGCTGCACGAAAACAATTCATGGGCGGAAATAAGAAGGTGCAAACATTCTTCTCCCGCGACAATCAGATAGCCTTTGCCTTCCGTGTTTCCCGAAAGATCAAAAAAATTCGGGAAAAGCTTGCTGACATAGTCAGTGATGGTACACAGTTTAACTTTGTACCCTGCTCTCATGAGGAAAGGAGAGTAATGAAGAGGTCTATGAGAGATCAGACTTATTCTTTTGTTGATGCTGAGGAAGTTATTGGCAGAGATGATGATAAGACAGTCATCTTGGACATGCTTCTTGCTTCTTCTTCCACTGACGGCGAGCACGAGCAGAGGGACAAGATGCTCCCTGTCATCACAATTGTGGGAATGGGTGGCATGGGGAAGACAACATTAGCTAAATTCATATTCAATGATCTTGAGGTTGAGGAATGCTTTGAAATGAGATTATGGGTCTGTGTTTCAGATGTCTTTGATATCAAGGATATCACTGAGAAGATCCTCAAGTCTGCAACCAACAAAGAGATACCCAAGTTAGAGATGGAACAGCTGCAAGGTCAATTGCGGAAAGAAATCAGTGATAAGAAATACTTGCTTGTTCTAGATGACATGTGGAATGAAAATCGTGAGAAATGGCTCGAGTTGAGGGATCTTTTGAAGGTTGGTAGAAAGGGGAGCAAAATCGTGGTAACTACTCGATCAAGTGAGGTGGCCAAAATAATGGGCACTTTTTTTCCTTACGAATTACAAGGTCTATCAGAAGAAAGGTCCTGGGAATTATTTAAAAAGATGGCATTCAATGAAGAAGCTCAACAAAATCCATGCTTAGTGGAGGTAGGCAAGGAGATTGTTAAGAAGTGTGGGAAACTTCCTTTGGCCATAAGAACCGTAGGCAGTCTGCTTTATGGTAAGGAGGAGAGAAAGTGGTTGTCAATCAAGGAAACAAGTCTAGCAAAAATACCTGAGAGCCAAAGTGATATTATGAGCATTCTTAGGCTCAGCTATCATCACCTGTGGTCGCCATTGAAAAATTGTTTTGCATATTGCTCTTTGTTTCCGAAAGACACTGAATTAGACAAAGAATTGTTGAAAGAGCTTTGGATGGCAGAGGGTTTCATTATTCCAGAAACCAATGAAAACCAAAGCCTAGATGAGGCTGCGGAGGACTATTTTCAAACTTTGCTGCAAAGGGGCTTTTTCCAGGATATAATAAAAAATGGTTGGGGTGCTATTACGGGTTGTAAAATGCACGACTTGATGCATGATCTTGCTCAAGAAGTGGCGGGAGTCAAGTGCAAGCTTGCAAAGTTTGCAGAAAGAAACTTTGATGATCGAATCCTCCACTTGTCCTTTTCTTATCGTTTGACTTCGTTGTGGAAAATTCCAAATGGCATGTTTAATCTGAAGCTGATGCGTACGTTTCTTGTGCCAGAGCAAATATATGATGGGTCTACATTTAGTGAATCAGTTTGCCAACAGTTAATAAGAAGATTTAGCTGCTTGCGGGTGTTGGATCTACATCACCTCAGCCTCAAGAGTTTGCCCAGTTCAATAGGTAAGCTGATTCACCTGAGATTCCTCAATTTATCTAGAACAGATATTGAAGAACTCCCTGATTCAATCACAGATCTTCAGAATTTGCAAACACTAAATCTACGTTGGTGTTCACACCTTAGAACTCTACCAGAAAATATTAGAAAACTCGCTAGTTTGAGGAGCCTTGATGTTAGAAATTGTGCTTTGACTCACATGCCATCGGGGTTAGCAGGATTGATTTCGCTGAATAGGCTGCCTAAATTTAAAGTAATTTATGAGCATTCAGCAGGGTTAACAAACAAGCCCAACAGTAGTGCTAAATTGAATGATCTAAAGGAACTCAATAACTTAAGAGGTGACCTGCATATAATGATCTTCGGAGATTTTGAAAAGAACATGCTAGAAGAAGAAGTAGAAGCAAACCTGACCAAGAAACAGGGGCTGACCGAATTGACAATAGACTTTCAAAATACAGATGTTAATGACAGTAGCCATTATGAAGCTGTGCTGGAGGGCCTCAAACCGCATTCTAATTTAAGGAAACTTAAGATTAAATGGTATAAGGGTCAGAAGCTCCCAAGTTGGGCAAGGAGGGGTGATTTGTGTATTACACTCCCATATTTGGTTAAAATTCACCTTTACAGTTGCAGTTGTCAACAAGTCCCTGTGTTTAGTCAACTACGTTTCTTGAAGCATCTTTCGATTATGTGTATGCATAGTGTGGAATATATGGAGAATGGTGTATGTGAAACTTCCTCGTCATCATCAAAATCGCAAGGGATGCAAACTCTATTCTTCCCATCTCTTGAAGTACTTGTATTGCGGGAAATGAAAAAACTAGAAGGATGGTGGAAAAGGGTAGAAGCAATTAAGAGTACAAATGATTCAGAAAGTACATCGTCATCTGAATTAGTTGAGGCGGGCCAACAATATGATCAGCATCAACTATCCATGCAATTTTGTAATCTCTTGAAATTAGTTATATGCAAATGTCCAGAGTTGAAATTCCTGCCACTTTGTCCAAAAGTGGAGGTGTTGAGACTAACTGAGACCAATGAGAGGCTTTCAGTAGTGAAGATTGTTACAACTCTATCAACAACCACCGCATCTTGTTCTGGTTCGACAAGGGGTGATTTGAAGTTGAAGGAGCTGGCAATGGATAGTGTGGAAGACCAACTTATGTCCCTTCCTAAACAATATCTGCACCAGCTTTCTTCGCTAATTGTCGAATTAGATGATGAGCTAGTGAACACTAAAAGTCTAGGAGAAGCGTTTGCAACTCTATCTTATTCTCTCCGACGTTTGAAATTCTATAGATGTAATAAGTTGAGAAGCATATCTCAAGGCCTGGAACGTCTGACTGCATTGGAGAAGTTGACCTTTTGGAGTTGTGCAGTGCTTGATGTATCAGTAAATGAACAACCAACGGCAAGTGGAGAGGGAGATGAAATGATGCCTTGGAAAGCCTTCAAAACTAATCTTCGCTCTTTGCAATTTGTAATACTTCCTAAAATGGTGGGTCTTCCGAGTGGCCTTCAACATTTGACGAACCTCCATTATCTGCAACTAAAACAAAATGAAGAGTTGAGGGAAATACCGGAATGGATAAGTTGTTTGTCCTCTCTTGAAGATCTGGAATTGATCGATTGTCCCAAATTGACATATCTACCAGAAGGCCTTAGCAAGCTCACCTCCCTAAATAAACTCACTATCATAGAATGTCCAGAATTGACAGAAAGATGTCGACGCCCAAATGGTCTCGACTGCCCCAAGTTTCACCATGTCCCTCTCGCTATTGTTAAAGACAAATTGGATTTTTTTTAATTTTTATAATTTCACTATTCAAATGTATTTTCATTTGATTTTGTGCCGGAGAACTTTGTAATGCATTTAAAGGTTTATTATTTATTTTTTATTTTTATTTTTATTTTTATTTATTTATTTATTTTTATTTATTATTATTATTATTATTATTATTATTATTATTATAAATCGAAAACAGACAAAGTCATGCAATCTACAAAAAAAAAATCAGTGGGAAGCTAAGATACAATTTAGGCCCCCACTCCTCTAGCTATAGCAAAACATATATCCTAGTGAAAATATGAGTAGCAGTACGCATGCACCCCAATATCCTGAGTCATCGATAATTTCTGAACCCGCTTCAGCAACGCAACAACCTCCTTCTCTAATTCCCCAGGTGAAGAAAGAAAGGAAAAAGAAAAGGAAATCATATCCAATTTTCCGACAACCAGATTCATATTTGACCCGCTTTCGATGAGTTGGATCAGCCACAACCCGTCCAGAACACGTACTCCCTCCACTTCAAAATAATCTTCTCAATTTTGATTTTGTGTGTTTTAAAACAATCTTCCCACTTTCTATTTTAACTCCTCACTTATTCTCATTATTCATATTATTTTCATTTTAATGAACCTAATCCAAAAAAAAAAAAAAAAAAAAAAAAAAAAAAAAAATTGGTCCCAATGTACTTTATTCCAAAAAATGATGGTTTCATTGTATTTTAAAGGTCTAAATGTACTTTATTTCAAATTATTTCCTTACCTTAATTTATGACACAAAATATTCTAAAAGAATATCATTTTGAAACGAATGGAATATCATAGAATACTATAATTCCTAATTGTTTTTATTCCCTCATTATTGTTGAAACAAAAATAAATTCCATTTATACATCAATTTAAAAACAAATTCCCAAAATACCGTCCATGTAGGATTGTTATTTGATTTGGCTTAAAACTGCTAATGTCGTCAACGGTTTTATGTTAAAACCACTAACAATATTAGCGGTTTTGTTTTTTTTTTTTTCTTTTAAAAAAAAAAGGCAAAGAGACCCGTTATTATTGAAATCTGGTATCTTTGAACTTAGCAATATTAATGTTGGCGGCTTAGGTTGTTAGGGAAGGAAGCTGTGAATTAAGTAAGGAGGAAAATAGACCGCCTTTTACTATTAACAGCACTAGCTCTTTTCCTTCGTACTTACCTTACACAAAGTAACGAGGAAAACTGGAAAAGTTTGTTAAAAAAAAAAAGTAAGGAGGAAAAGAGAGCTATTAATAGTAAAAGGCAATCTCTTTCTTGAACCGCTAAATGTATTAGCGGTTTTAAAGCTACAACCACTATTGCCATTAGCGGTTTAAGCTGAACCAAATCAAAAAAAATTTGACACCCAACACCGATCCTTATTGGATGTTACTTGGGGAATTTTTTTTAAAAATCGACGCATAAAGGAAATTTATTTTTGTTTTAACAATATTGTGGGAAATCGCTCACTCCATCCTACATTTTTTTTACGGAATAAATAATATAATTAGTAATGAGTTATACAACATCTAATACGATTATAAAACTTGAATTTTAAATCAGCACAATTTTTATAATCATAACTGCGATTATTATTTTAAGCATACTCAAACACAACTTCATCCCTACCGCTTCAAACTTGACACGAGCATTGATTTTCGATGCCTTTGTATCTAGAGTCCTCCACGTTAATTAAGATTTCGTGTTATAATTGTTCTAATCGAAAAATTGATGAAAAATCATAAACCCTTTTGAAACCAGACCATCTTCCCTATGAATAACAACGAACCTAATAATGATCTGATAGCAAAATAAATAAATCTCCCAAGAGGAGAAAAAAAAAAACCATGTTTTTTGAGAGAGAAATATCCACGTAATAAAAAAAAGACTTATTAGTAGGAATGGTAACAAATTGGATTTGGGGTCAGATGGGGATAAATCCGAATTCAAATCCGATCCACTTAATAATCGAACCATGGACTCGAATCTGAATCCGAATCCATTTTGAATCAAGTCCGATCCGACTCATATTTTTAGCATCCGAACCCGATCCATTTATTTGGACATCCGATAAAAACCGCCCCATTTGTGTGATACATTAATAATTGCTAGTATTTTCTCTCAATAATTTCATTATTTACATCATTTTGGTCGGATCGAGACTCGGAGTCGGACTTTGCGAAAGGTCCAAGTTTGATCCGCCTCCTATTCGGATTATTTTCTAACTCTAGGCTTGTGATGGCAATCTTGCTCGGTGTTGGCCTTGACATTTTTCTGTCTCCTCCACCTTCTTTCTCTTTAGGAGTTAGAGCCTTAGTAGGCGTAGCAGTCTTCTGATCTCGCTTATTCTTCCACTCAAGTAGGGCAGAAGAATCGGTCTTAAAACTTGGTATGGCAAAAGTTGCTAATGTAAGAAAGTTGGGTGGAGCAGGGTGGTGGGTATCGAGGGTGGGATTAAAAAAGGTCTTGCAACACTTCATGGAGGTGGTCTGAGAGGATTGATGGAGAGCAATGACGCCTGTTTTTTTATGCTACTTGCTAGTTCTCTAACGGGGGTGTTTGGCAAATGGGAATGGGAATGGGAATTTGGGGAATATAGGGTGGGAGTGGGAATGGGAATTAATAGGTGGGAATTTATGAAATAATCTCAATCCCTTGTTTGACATATTTTGGAAATAAGATTGAGAAATTTTAAATCCTATATTTGATATGTGGGAATAATAGAGGGGTTAAAAACATAATTTACAAGATTACCCTTTACATATTAAAAAAGTGTAAATATATGTCACAAAAGAGGGGGTAGTATTGTCTTTTTAACAATTCAGTGAATTCCCCCCAAAATATTACCTGCCCCTCCAAGTAATAAAATGTAGGGAATACAAGCTAATTATTCCCAAGCCCATTCCCATTTTATATCATAATTTCCACCAACCAAACATGGGGTTTATAAAGATTAGGGATTATTATTCCCATTCCCAACCATAATCCCACTTACCAAACAGCCCGTTAGAACTTTTGACACATCTGCCGCAAACCGGAAGCAGGGGTCGAACAATACGCGAACTGATCTTGAAGTCTACAAGATTAAGGAACTGTAAAAAATAATTGAGGCTACATAGAAAAACTTAACATAGATAAGCATAGAAAGGTTTCTCTAGGGGTTATTCAGAACTGTAGCTGCAGTACCTGAATTTTGGTCTGCAAACATCCGTGCAAGGCAACAACAGTATAGCCAAAATGTCGAAGAACTGCTCCTACCTTAACCTACTGCTTCCATGGAAATAGGAAGTAGTACCTTGACGCCCGAGGCTCTAGTATTTGGCAAATTCTCATCTTAAAAATAATAAAATGTACGAGAACAGTAAGCTGTTGTTCTATATACTAACTACTGTCCAAGATAAGTTGAAGCATAATATGGACCCTTACAAAGCCTCGTCTGCAGATTTTGAATCTAAAATTTCCTTATAGATCATCAGACAAATTATCTTCTTCAGCTTTTGATTTCGAGTCACTGAAGTATTGTTGGACACATGCTGCATCAAAAACAATAACAAGGTACTTAATGTAACAACTGATTAAGCTGATTGACAGAGCGCCTCAAAACTTGACTTTCATTCACATATCATGTGAACATATACTATTTCCCTAAGTAAGACCATGTTATTTTTCATTACATGCTTTCGAGTACAAAGGGAGTAAGACCATGTTATCTTCTACCTCATAATCATAACTCTTCTTTATATATGGGAAGAATCTAATGTCTGTAGCTGACGTTCCTGCCAAGAGAGTTAAAGTGAACTTTCAGTCAGCAATCAAAAAAACTGCAAATGCAATGAAGATTTATTATTGGCAACAAACTCAAGGAAAAATGCCAATGATCCAGCCATAATTGTCCCAAGTCCTCTGTTCAGTACCTTGCATAATGTTGCCCTTACATACAAGAAAGCTAGAAATTATCTAAGCACTTGCATACAATTTTGTTTTCTGAAAATGAAAATCAGGCCTTGTTCATTTCCTCTGTGAGATTTAAAGTATTGAGGTTTGTGAGTTATTAGTTTTGTTGTCAGTGTTGATGCTATTGGTAATTGGAGTACTGTGATGCAGGGGAACAAGGTTAAGATTCAGAAAATTTACCAAGCTATCACTGTTTCTGCTCCTAAAGTGTGCTGGAGAAGGATAATCTGTAACAATTCTGCTTCTCCAAAGAGCCTATTTATCACTTGGCTAGCAATCTAGAATAGGCTTGTTACCAAAGACAGATTGCAAAAATGGAGCATTCAATGTGATCCTGTATGTTTCTTATGTACTCAGGCTTTGGAAACTACTCAGCACCTGTTTTTTTTACTGTTCTTATAGTAAAAAAGTGTGGCTGCAAGTTCTCAGGCACTTTGGATATCAGAGATCTATTAGCTGTCTTGACTACGAGCTGCAATGGATCTTGAAGATTTGCCAAAAGTCTAGAGCTAAAAATAGATTGATGGGAATGTGTTTTGCTGAAACTATATATCATGTATGGCTGCAAAGGAATGCTCTAATTTTTACAGGAAAATTGAAGCCTGCTGAAGTTATTTTTAGGGACATTCTGTTTTCTGTAGCCTGTAGATGCTTTGCTAGTGACAGGAAGCTGCTTATTATGTAATTCTTTTTATGTTTTGTTCCTGTCTGTTGTCTTTGTAAGGACCTTTGTTCTGTCTGTCTGGTTGCTCTCTCTTTTGGTGAACCCTTCCTAGAAGGTGGCACTAATTGAGGGTTGACCCTGGTCTGTTTTGGGAAAGAACCTCTCAGGAACCCTTCCTAGAAGGTGGCCTGATGTTACCTTTCCTGTTTTAGTTGGCTGTTTTAGCCTGTTTTGTGTAAGGGGCTGGTTCTGGTCCTCTTGTTCTTTTTGCTTTTTTGTTGGTTTCAACTTAGCTCTTTGTAAGTTGTAATCTTTTCCCTTTGGTAATGAAATTCTTTATTTACCAAAAAAAAGTTTTGTTGTCAGTTTTCAAAACGAATACGACTACACGAGTAGCATAAGTATGACTTCCGACTAGTATCAAGTTCACCGCTTTGAATCTGGTTAAGCCCTTAAAAGTTCATTTTAAGAAAATTACTCACTATGTTGAATTTTATTGAATCTCAAGTCAACTGTAGGTATCCACAAAAACTTCCATTCAACATATCACGTCATCAATTTGAATTATTCATCAATATCCTAAGAAAATGTTACACACTTAGACCGTAGTCTTCACACTCTCAAGACCCGGACCACTTGACCATGCATGGAATTGATTAGTCATCAATTTGAATTATTCATCAAAATCCTTACTATTTTACTAATACAGATGCCCAACATTATCATCTTCAAGTCCTTGATCTTTCTTCACAACAATTCACTTAAATCACCAAAAAAATCTGATTTCTAGACCGAGAGAGAGAGAGAAGCAAATGGCTGAAGCAGTACTGTTTGGCATTGCAGAGGAAGTCCTAAAGAATCTGGGATCAACTGCTGTTAATGAGATTGCCTCGGCATGGGGCTTCAAGGCTCGGCTCGAGAAGCTCAAGGACACCATCAACACTATCAAAGGGAAGCTGTTGGATGCTGAAGAGAGGCACGCTGATAATCACCCTGAAAGCCATGCTGTTCGTGGTTGGCTACAGAGGCTTACCACTGTTGTCTACGATGCCGATGACTTGTTTGATGAGTTCGTTACCATTGCCTCACGACAACGGCTCATTGACGGAAACAAAATGTGTAAGAAGGTACAAACATTCTTCTCCCGCAACAATCAGATAGCCTTTGCCTTCCGTGTTTCCCGAAGGATTAAAAAAATTCGGAAAAAGGTTGCTGACATTGTCAGTGATGGTACACAATTTAACTTTGTACCCTGCTCTAACAAGGTAATGGGTAGGCCGATGAGAGATCAGACTGATTCTTTTGTTCATGTTGAGGAAGTTATTGGTAGAGAAGATGATAAGAAAGTCATCATAGGCATGCTGCTTGCTTCTTCTTCAACTGACGACGAGCACGAGCAGAGAGACAAGATGCCCTCTGTCATCACAATTGTGGGAATGGGTGGTATGGGGAAGACCACTTTAGCTCAACTCATATATAACGATCATCAAGTTAAGGAGTGCTTTGAGATGAGATTATGGGTCTGTGTTTCAGAGAACTTTGATATTGAGGACATCACTAAAAAGATCCTCAGATCTGCAACCAACACAGAGATTCCAGAGTTTGATATGGAACAGCTACAAGGTCGATTGCGGGAAGAGTTGGGTGATAAAAAATACCTTCTTATCCTAGATGATGTTTGGAATAATAATCGTCAGAAATGGTTCAAGTTAAGAGCTTATTTAAAGGTTGGTAGAAAAGGAAGTAAAATCGTGGTAACTACTCGATCAAGAGAGGTGGCCGAAATAATGGGAACTTTTCCTCCTCATGAGTTACTCGGTCTATCAGAGGAGAAGTCCTGGGAATTATTTAAAAAGATGGCATTCAATGAAGAAGCTCAACAAAATCCATGCTTAGTGGAGGTAGGCAAGGAGATTGTTAAGAAGTGTGGGAAACTTCCTTTGGCCATAAGACACGTAGGCAGTCTGCTTTATGGTAAGGAGGAGAGAAAGTGGTCGTCAATCAAGGAAACAAGTCTAGCAAAAATACCTGAGAGCCAAAGTGATATTATGAGCATTCTTAGGCTCAGCTATCATCACCTGTGGTCGCCATTGAAAAATTGTTTTGCATATTGCTCTTTGTTTCCGAAAGACACTGAATTAGACAAAGAATTGTTGAAAGAGCTTTGGATGGCAGAGGGTTTCATTATTCCAGAAATCAATGAAAACTAAAGCCTAGATGAGGCTGCGGAGGACTATTTTCAAACTTTGTTGCAAAGGGGCTTTTTCCAGGATATAATAAAAAACGAATGGGGTGCTATTACAGGTTGCAAAATGCACGACCTGATGCATGATCTTGCTCAAGAAGTGGCTGGAGTCAAGTGCAAGGTTGCAAAGTCTACAGAAAGTGATTTTGATGACAAAATCCTCCACTTGTCTTTTGCTTATCATTTGACCTCCTTACGGGAAATCCCAAATGACATGCTTAATTTGAAGCTACTGCGTACCTTTATTTTGCCGGAGCAAATAAATGATGGGTCTACCTTCAGCAAATTCATATGCCAACAGTTAACAACGAGGTTTAGCTGCTTGCGGGTGTTGGATCTACATAATCTCAGCCTCAAGAGTTTGCCCAGTTCAGTTGGTAAGCTTATTCACTTGAGATTCCTTGATTTATCAAATACACATATTGAAGAACTCCCTGATTCAATCACAGATCTTCAGAATTTGCAAACACTAAATCTATATGGGTGTTTACAGCTTAGAACACTAACAGAAAATATTAGAAAACTTGTTAATTTGAAGAGGCTTGATGTTAAAGATTGTTATAAATTAACTCACATGCCATCGGGATTAGCAGAATTGACTTCGTTGAATAAGCTGCCTAAATTTATAGTAAATTATAAGCATTCTGCAGAATTAAGGTACAAGCCCAACAGTACTGCTAAATTGAGTGATTTAAAGGAACTCGATAAATTGAGAGGTTACCTGCGTATAGATATCTACAGAGATTTTGAAAAGGATATGGTAGGAGAAGCAATGGAAGCAAACTTGACCAAGAAACAAGGGCTGACTAAATTGATAATAGCCTTTTTCTTAGCTGATAATGACTGTAACCATGATGAAGCTGTGCTGGAGGGCCTCAAACCGCATTCTAATTTAAGGAAACTTTGGATTCAAGGGTACAAGGGTCAGAAGCTTCCAAGTTGGGCAAGGAGGGGTGATTTGTGTATTACTCTTCCAAATTTGGTTGTGATTAGACTTAACAATTGTAGTTGTCAACAAGTCCCTATGTTTAGTCAACTACGTTTCTTGAAGCGTCTTGAGATTATGTCTATGGAAAGTGTGGAATATATGGAGAATGGTGTATGTGGCACTTCCTTGCCATCATCAAAATTGCAAGGGATGCAATCTTTATTCTTCCCATCTCTTGAAGTACTTGAGTTGAGGTGTATGAAAATCCTAAAAGGATGGTGGAAAGAAGTAGAAGCAATTGAAAGTACAGATGATTCAGAAAGTACATTGTCACCGGAATTAGTTGGGGCAGGCCAAGAGTATGATCATAATCAATTATCCATGCAATTTTGTAATCTCTCAGAATTGGTTATACAATATTGTCCGGAGTTGAAATTCCTGCCATTTTGTCCAAAAGTGGAGGTTTTGACACTAACAGGCACCAATGAGAGGCTCTCAGTATTGAAGATGGCAACAACTCTATCAACAACAACCGCATCTTGTTCTGGTTCGGGAAAGGTTGATTTGAAGTTGAAGGAGCTGACAGTGGATAATGTGGAAGATCAACTTATGTCCCTCCCTAAACAATGTCTGCACCAGCTTTTTTCATTAACTGTTCACTGGGATCGCAAGCTGGTGAACACTAAAAGTCTAAGAGAAGCGTTTGCAACTCGATCTAATTCTCTCCGGCGATTGGAATTCTTTAGCTGCAATAGCTTGAGAAGCATATCTCAAGGCCTGGAACATTTGACTGAATTGGAGAAATTGACCTTTTGGAATTGTCCAGAGCTTGATGTATCGGTAAATGAACAACCAACGCCAAGTAGAGAGGGAGATGAAGATGGCAGAAATATGATGCCATGGAAAGCCTTCAAAACTAATCTTCGCTCTTTGGTTTTTGAAGGACTTAATAAAATGGTTGGTCTTCCGAGTAGGCTTCAACATTTGACGAACCTCCGTTATCTGAATCTATCAGGAAATAAAGAATTGAGGGAAATACCAGAATGGATAAGTTGTTTATCCTCTCTTGAAGATCTGTATTTGCGGTGTTGTCCCAAATTGACATATCTACCGGAAGCCCTTAGCAAGCTCACCTCCCTAAATAAACTCAGTATCATAGAATGTCGAGGATTGACAGAAAGATGTCGATGCCCAAATGGTCTAGACTGCCCCAAATTTCAGCACGTCCCTCTTGTTACTGTAATAGATTAGATTATATTAGTACTGTTGTCTGTTGGTACTTGATACTCTCCTACTCTGTATGGTATATTGTAGGAGTGTAGGCTAATAAATGTATTTTCCCTTGAATCTGATTTCATACCTGAGAACTTTGTAATGCATCTATACTCTTGCCCTTAACTAATTAAGGTCACCTTTGTACTTGGTTAGGGTCACTTTTTCTCTTGAGTAAGATCACTTTTGTCTTTGGTTAGGGTTACTTCTGCCTTTGAGTAGGTTACTTTTGTCCTTGAGTAGGGTCACTTTGTCCTTAATTAAGATATTAATCAGGGTCAATTTGATCATCTATACTTTTGCCCTTTAGTAGGGTCACTTTTTTTATTAATCAAGGTCACCTAGCTTTATCCTTAGTTATGCACTTTACTGCTTTTGGTATGGGTCAAACTTGTCTTGGATTGGGGTCACTTTTATCCAAGGTTAAGATCACTTTTACTATTTGGTTGCTAACAATTGTTTTTAACAACACAAGAGCACTTAGACATCTTCCAAGCTACAACCTTAACCAAAATACATCATACCATTAACTATAAGCAAGCACTACTTATAGTCTACATAAGCTATGTAGGACTTGAACCCACACCATGTACAACTATTGCACATTGCTCTATCATTTGAGCTAATAGCCTTGAAATCAAACACTTGTACAAGCATTCAAAGACCAACTACATACAACCATTTTTATTCAAGGTAGCTCACAAAAATTAGCTAGAGGGAGGGGATATTGAGTAATAAGAGTATGTGTTAGAAGTATGTCGGGGATAATTTTCTTGTAGTATCAAGTATTACTAGCAATACTAGGCAGTTTAAGGTGAGGGATGTGCAATTTGGAGCTGCTATATGATTTACATAATACCTAAATCAAGCAAATAATAGCTTGTCCACCTCTTGTACTCATATTCTTATGACTTGAACCTTATTGGATAAAATTATGAAATTTGACTAGACACTAGCACTTTATTTATGATCATATAAGTTTTAGCCAGAAAACCCAGACGCACAAATACAACTCATGTCGAATAATTTTTAGTGACATATAACTACATAAGTTTATCTCCCATGTATATGATTGAAAACCCACATGCAAAAATTTAGAAAATGACACACTTACAGAAGTTCATAAAACAATTTTCTTATGCTCATCCCAAAACCTTTGCCCCTTCTTCTCCAATTGGCAATGAAAAATTGAAAATCACCAAGTCTGCCATAACCACAAATTGATAATAAATTAAAATCAACGAGTCTACCCAGTCTCAAACACGCGTAATAACAAGAATGCATCACAAAGATGAAACAAAATAATAATGATCACATTCATATGAAGCAATGAATATTTTATAGCAAGACATCTTCTGAATCCCTGAACTTGCAATTTTTTGTGTAATTTAAGTGAAAGCCAAAGTCTCAATAAAAAGGGCAACTCTAAACACTATAATTAAACAATAAAATCGATAATTTACGCAAATTAGACTTTGTCACCGTAGTTTTGTTATCGAATCAATATAGCTGGAAACATATCTTTCAATATTTGAAGTAATTAAGGGTAAGTTTAACAAACACAAAGCAGTAACAACTTTATCATAGGAAAATTTGGTTGAAATTGCAACTTGTGAGAAATTCAATCAAAATAAAATCAACCAAATGCATGTCAACAAAATTTTCACTCTCGTAACATTCAATTATAAATTTGTTTAATGAGAGAAAAACCCTGAGACTAATGACAGGTAACTTCATATAAAAATACAATTCAAAAGTCTAATAACAATCAAATCATAAATACCGAGAAATAGATTCTGAAACTGAAAATTCAATTTATAGATAAATTACCTCAATTTTGATCGAAAGTTAAGTCATCAATTAGAAAAAAATTCTTTATAATTTCCAGATCTATTATCATAGGAGGTTGAATTTCTTTCTGCCTTTAAAAAAATTGAAGTAGACCTTGATTTTTTTTTTTTTTTTTTTTTTTTTTTTTTAAGAAAGACCTTGAATAAAGGTTTGATATTTGGAGAAATCGCATTTAATGCAATTGTTGATTTATGTAGAGACGTTGTATCGATTGTTGGTTGAAGACTGCAGATTCGAGCGCATAAATTTGTCGCCGCAAATTTTCTCCCTACACGCTGGGTTTGTAATGCACTGTAATTGTTTTTTTTTTTTTGTTTTTTATTATTTTTTTTACGGTTTTTTCATCAAATTTCCCTGAATTTTCGCTTTATTTACTATAAATCAATCAAAATTTTCAAATTCACCGTGTGCCTTTTGAGTTTAACCAAAATGTCACCACATACTCTTTTTCTTACGTTTGTCATTAAAAGTTAGTTATGTCACATGGCAGCCTCTACTTGGCTCTTATTTAAACTAATTAATTAATTAATTAAAACAAACTTTTACAAAAATAATTGAAAAAAAAAGCCACCACCAACTGCCAGCCACCTCCCCGCTCCCACAACCGCCAGCTAGCTCATCCCCCCGCCGCCCACTCCCAGATCGTTCTCACCACCGCACCAGCGTCGCCCCTCCCCCAGCCCTGTGTCAGTGCCTGCGTCCCTCCCTTGAACCACCATACCCAACCCAAATTCCCCTTCCCTCCCCGCCTAAAACGCCTCCTCACTAGCCCTTCCACCTTAGCCAAAACCACCATGCCGAAACCCCAACGCCGGTGGCCTAGTTCCCCCCCCCCCCCTCCAACGTAGTTGTCACCCGATTTAGCTAAATCAACCAACCCAAAATCCCAAAATCCAAAATCAAAACTTTAGTTTTTGATTTTGGAGTTTTTGGGTTTCTGGGTGGTGGTTCAGAAGGGGGAAAAGGGTGAAGTTGGTAGGGGGAGGGGTGACTTGGGTTCGCCGGCGCAGGGGAGGTGGGTTTGGGCGCCAGCGAGTAGAGAGAGAGGGTTTTTCAAGTTTTAGGGTGGGAGGATGGTGGTTTAGGGGAAAAGGATAGGCGATTTCGGGGGGTCAGGGGTCATGATGGCGCCGGCGCAGGGGTTCAATGGGAATTGCATGCCGACGGGGGTGGAGACAAGGTGGCGCCGGTTGGGGTAGGGAGGGTGGTTGGTAGTGTGGTGGACTAATGGGTGGTTTTATCATTTTTTTTTTTTTTTTAATAATCAATTAAATAATTATTTTAGAGTTAAATTAATTTAAAAAATAATCAATCCTATGATGCCACGTGGCATAATTAACCTTAATGACTAATGGAGTTAACGTTTGTTGGTCATTTAGGCATTTGGTGATATTTTTGTTGAATACTGAGGTTATATGGCGAATTTGAAAATTTTGACAGGTATATGGTGAATAAAGTAAAAAGTTATGGGTATATGATGAAAAAATCGTTTTTTTTTTTTTAATTAAGCTTACAGACGGAGTATTTCTTATACATTCTTCTTCTTGATTATTGATTCATGTCTTTAGGCACAAACATGAATAATAGGATTTCTTTAAAAAAAAAAAAAAAAAAAAAAAAATGAATAATAGGATGCATTAATTTAGGAGGTGTTTGGTTGGGGGTATTTAACAAAAGGAAAAGCAATTAGTTACCATGAATTTAGGGTAGGCCATGGCCACCCCTTGATTTTATATAAAAAAAAAATTGTGTGATGTTGTTGAACAATGTATGGTGGGTGGATCAACTGGTCAAACTTGCAAACAAGATGTGTGACAATGGTTTGATTTTATTATTATTATTATTATTATTATTTTGAGGGAACAATGGTTTGATTCTTGTTGCACTCAATTTTTTAACTTCTTAATTCTTTGTTGTTTTTTGCTAGCTATTGGGCTTAACGAATGCTCACTTTTTATTCTTTTATTAATTTATTTTCTCCTAAATTTTTTTCAAAACCTTCTTGTCAAACACCTATTGTTTGTAGTGGGTCAAAATTTTAAATTTTCTTATTAGAAATTTAAAAACAATTAAGAGATATGTCAGACTAAACAAAGATTTAATGTAGAGATTAAAATAAGTATAATTGGTCTTGGCCCCTCCGATGTATAATTTCTGGTTCCACCATTGCATGATGAATTCCTTTGTTGTTGTTTGATAAGCAAAATAGTCATTGGCCAGGGCGATGCCCCGTATCACTATAAATTTGTAAGTTTGATCAAAATTAAATTTAAAAGGTTAGTATCCAACAATATATATAAGTGAACTAAAATATAATAATACATTTAAGATTAATGAGTGCTAGTTTTATTCATTTTACTATACATAATAAAATAATAACTCATGTTATTCAAAATAAAAAGTAGCTTATGTAAAAATTATTGTACTTTGTATAATTGCTTGACTGATATTGAATCTAGTAAATCAGCATCCAAGAAATCAATAACCATTAGTGTGTAATGTCTTATAAAATTGTAGATTATTGTGCAATAATTTAGGAGTTACATTCTATGAGAAAATTAAATACGAAGGTTATACACATATGAAGAGTTTTAGGGTGATAAGTGATGACATATAAGGTCACAAATAACGCTCATGTGACGTAAAATCATATGGAAAAAATGGTGACACATGGAACTATCATGTTGTCCCTTTGAGTTTTAATCATATTATAGACTCAATCATTTCCTTTACCCCTACTATTACCCCACTTTCCTCTATTTTCACTCCCCACCTCCTCCCCCCCTCCCCCAAAGGGAATCACTCTAACCCCCAAACTCTTTTTCACCACCTTTGAAAATACCAACCGACAAACTAAAACTGTTGGCAAGCCACCAGAGCCGCCGCCTAGAAACCATAAACACCATCCTGCCAGCGAAACACCGCCTAGCCGCCATCAGAACTACACCCGCCCAAATTCACTTTATATCCACCCGAAAAAACCCCACCCATACCCAAAACCACCATTTCCTACCGAAATCACCCAAACCCACTCGGAAAAAAACCCATACTCCTTGAAACCGCCCAACTCCACTCGAAAATAGCCCTATACCCACCAAACCATCACCCCTCAAAACCACAACACCCACCATGAAAACCACCCAAAAAAACTCTAACCGTCTATGCAAACACCACTAACCACCCTATAAACAACTCCTAAAAAGCCAAACAAAACCCCTAACGCCCTAAAAACAACCAAGTAACCAAATCTACAAGTTTACTAGAGAGAGAGAAAGACAGACAGACAGACACACACACACACACACAGAGAGAGAGAGAGAGAGAGAGAGAGAGAGAGAGAAGCACGACAGCAGTAGTGGTGGCGTTGGCATCGGTGTACGTGGCAGTGAATTGAAGGAGGGAGGGGCGGCGGTGTTGGAGCCATATGGAATGACAATGGTGGTGGTAATAGTGGTGGTTGTGGATGAAGGGGTAGACTTGAAACTTGATCCCTCTTTTTTAATACTACATAAAAATGTAAAATAAACAATGCAACCTAGGAGTTGCTTCCCCTTCTCTCTCATTCCCTTTCTTGATGTCATTCCCTTTCCCCTCTACCAACTAAACGCCCCCTTATTATTGAAGTGCATATTGTAATTTTAATAAGTGGGTATTCTTAATGTCATTCTCTTTCCTCTCTGATAGGCGGTCGCACACCTTACAAAAATAACCTAACTAATCCTCCTAACTATGTAGTAGGGTAAGTCAGGGTCGATCCCACAGAGACTATGGTTCACCTATAATTATCTAGACTCAAGTTGTTACTAAGCAAAAATTAAATAGTGGTGAAATAACTATAAGCTAAAGTATAGAAAACTAGAATAAATCAAACGAATATAATAAATCAATAAGCTAAAACATCCAAGATCAAGTATCACCACAATTACGATCGATGCAATTATATATCTACCCCTAACATACAATTCCAATTAACACGGGGAAAAGTAAACCCTAATCAATACCAAGGACCTCTCTCGAGTATCAATGGCTTCCCTAACATACAATCAAGCCTATTCTCATGGTATCATGCAAATTAGAGACATTAAAAACATTACTCTAACTTCCCAATTATCAACCCAACTATTCTCATGTTGAATCTCAAACCCTAAATTGATCTACTCAAATCCGTTTAAACCCAACTCTCGCTGTGATAGAAACAATGGAATAAAAACAATACTAATTATCTCTAATCTAGTATTGGCATAATCACAATCAATTTAGCATAAGCAATTGCAAAAGTTATTAGAGAATTTAAAGAATTAATTCATGCATCAATCATAATTGGGCTACCCTAGATCTTGGAATAAGGAATCTACTCACTCATAATGAAATAAACAATAACAAAATTAATTAAAGAAAACATAATTAAGAAATAAAAGATGAAAAGAAAATACCGAATCTTGAATTAAATGGAGAATTGAAAGTACAAAAGCTAAAGCAAAATAATGGAGAGTACTAGGTTTTTAACAATGTAAAACTAGACTAATAAAAACTTAATCCCCAAATAAAACTTTACTTAGTGTATTTATACTCCTAGAAAAACAAGAAAACAATTAAAATACTTGGCGCACAATCTTCCCAGGAGGCACGGACGTGCCTCCTCATAGGCACGGACGTGCCTCTGAGCGAGTGAAAACTTCTTCGGCTTCTGACTTCCAGGCACGGACGTGCCTGTGCTGGGCACGGACGTGCCTCTTGACGAGTGTAATTCTGCAGTCATGGGCACGGACGTGCCCCTGCTAGGCACGGACGTGCCTAATGTCGAAGCTCATAGCTGTGTAAACCGACTTGGAGGCACGGACATGCCTCTGCTAGGCACGGCCGTGCCTAGCTCCAAAAAGCCCTAAATCGTTCGTTCTTCAATCATCAAGCTTCGCGAAGGTTCGTGGGCCTCGGTTTTAGCTTCGTGACTTCGTAAAACATCCAAATTAGCTCCGTTAAGCCTGAAATATATCAAAAACAACGAAACTACCCATAAAAGCATCGAATCATCGAAACTAAACCAAATTGCACCAAATTAGACTAAAACACTCAACTAAGCTAATGAAATCAACTAAAAATAAGCTAATAAATATGCACAAAACACGACTTATCACTCTCTACCAACCAAACACCCCTTTATGTAAAATAATTGCTTGACCGATATTGAATTTAGAAATTTGCATCTAATGAATCAACAACCATTTGTGTTATTTAATGTCGTATAAATTAAATTGTAGAATATTGTGCAATTACTTAGGAGTTACGGAGTACATTCTATAGGAAAATTAAATACGAAATTTAAAGTTACATATATGAAGAGTTTTAGGGTGATGTGTAATTGAGTAGTGATGACACATAAAGTGACATATAGCGTTCATGTGACGCCAAATCATATTACTAGAAAGATGACACATGGCGGTAGCATGTTGTCACTTGTCCCTTTGAATTTTAATCTCTGTCCTTTAAAAAAGTATGAGAAAACTCTTATTAATAGTGTCTAGACAATATAATTATATTATAACCTCTAAAATGTTTATTTACTTAATTGTCCCCATTTAATGTTAATTAGCCATTTTTTTATAAACTCTTAAGAATAGTGTGCTGACATTTAAACTTCTAAAAATATTTGTTTACATATTTTCCTTCATTAATGCTACTAACAAATAATGTTGTGTCGTAAAGTAACACCGAAAGAGCTTCTCGAATATTGCTAGATATAGCGCGCACATTGTGCGTGGCGTTAGCTACCCTAATAATGCTATAAAGAAAAATTTGTCAAAAAGGTACTTAATGTTTTTTTTTTTTTTTTTTTTTTGCAAAGAACTTTATATGTTCAAAGTGGTGAAAAAGGTCCTTATAAGTCACTTTTGTCGTGAGGAGGGACCTTGACGTCGGAATATGACCGTTGAATTTACTTTCCCGGCGTTTAACCATCTCGCACGTGGTGTTTTAAAAAGGTCATTTTGTTCTTTTTTGTCCCACGTTTTCACTCTCTCTCTTTATATCTCCAAAAATTTTCTCAAAATTCCTTCTCTTTCCTCAAAATCATGGGAAAAAAAGAAGGAAAGACATTTTTTTATACATCACGTGCATATCACATGATAGTTTACACCGAAAAAGTGAAGCCAACGGCCATATTATGATGTCAAGGTCCCTCACAATAAAAGTGACTTATAAATACCTTTATCACCACTTTGAACCTATAAAGTCGTTCTTTACCCAAAAAAAAAAAAAAAAAAAAATACATTTTTTTTTTTTTTTTTGAAAGGGAGGACCAACCAACTTTGAACCCGGGTAAATGTATTCAAGACTCGAGAGGGGATTGTTACGTGGGCAAATTCTTACAGTGACCCGGTCCGGCTACCTCTAGCTTGTCCTGGTCCAAATTGTTAGGCTTTTCTGAGTTTTCTTTCTTCTTCCTCCTATTCTCAGTTCTCATTGTTTATTTTTCATCTCAACTCCAACTCTCGCTTCTCGACCTCCATGCCTCCTTCAAAATATCTCAAATACTATTTTCCTGCAATATTATCTCTCATCAAAATTAATTTGAAACTAGATGAATTTCAATACCTACATGCAAATTAAATCAAAACTCAGATTTTTTTTTTAGCATAAAAGAGGAAAAAGAAATTCAACCCGAAAACCTCTTTCAAATTCGATTGAATTAGGCAATATGTTTATTGATTATGGTTAATTGGATGTTCTTCATCCAATTTGGGGCTGCTTGTTTGCAATTAGGTATAAGGTTTTTCCCCAATCTTCCTCGTATTATTAGTAATTTTACTGCAACTTTTATATTTTAAGTTTTCTGCATTTTTTCTTTTTGGTAGTTATTTGATTCCTAATCAATGTTGTTACAGATGGATAGACATGGAGGTTGTCTGAGAGGATGATGGAGAACAATGACGCCTGTTTCTTATGCTGCCAACACCAAATCATTAAGGTAAACTATCAATCACCTTGATTTTTAAAATTGGTTAAGTTAAACCTGTTTTGTTGTTGAAATATTGTAATTTGTTTAATCTTATGATATTATACAAAAGTGAAATCTGGTATCAGACTAATTTGAGTGATATCCTATCTTTTTGGACGATGTTAGAACTCTGAATTAGTTTTAGTAATGCTGCAAATGCTTCTGCTATTATTAGTTAATCCGCGAAAGTAGAGTTAAGTCTAGGGAACTTGGCCACCCATCCAGAAAGCTATCGGAAATGGGAAATTGTTAATACAAAGACATAAAAAGCGCTAAAAATGTCTTCATCCCATTATATAATTATGTTGCTGTACAAGCAAGATTATAAACAATACATAAGTATAATTTTGTTATGTCTGGACTGCAGAAGACTTGGACCTCCTCAAGGGTTGCGTTGGATTCATCCCCAAAGATAGAATCCTTTCCATCAGGTCTCTTAGCATAGGATAACCTTAGTCTAGACTTTGCTTGCCTGAGATCACCTGCACCTGAACTTGGATCAGGTCCTGTAAACACACCCATGACAGGAGTTAGGGGTGGGCCGATGAGCAGTCCATCGAAGCCAAATTGTGGCCCCCTACGCCCTACGGGCATAATCGAAAAAGGCAGCTCCACTGCCCCCAACTTTGGGTAGTATTGTCGGATCAGTATTCCCATCCTCTTGCCAGTAAAAGAGGAATGCATCAAATGTGTCATAGTAATCATCTGTGCTTCTGTAACCTTCTGGATTGAATGCTCCAAACTTAAAGGGCTTGTTGTTTGTGTAACCTATTATAACACAAGGGCCCTTAAAGTCACAGAATTTGTGGAAGTCAATTGCATTAAATCCATCAATGCTTGCTCTGTAACAGCATTTCAGTTCTCTTCCTGTCAGTCAATATTTTCCCAACAAAATATATTATTAACAGGAATAAGGCCAAATTAAGTATCTGAAATGCTAGTTTAATACTTCCATCAAGACGACACCGAAATATTACACTAGTGTGACTCCGGATTAACAAAGGTCTAGACGTATGCAATGTTATCCTTAATCAGTCTATATAGATGATAGATAATACGAAGGTTCAAATTCAATCTTATGAAATAGGAAAATTAAAAGTTTACTTCTTGAAATATACTAATATTAATCTATTTTTAAAAAAAAAATTGAAATAAATATCATGCATGTTGATGAAAAAAAGATAGAGAAAAAAGAGGAAACAGTACCATTTAGAAATGTTTTGGAAACAAAAAGGTGGGAAAGGAAGATCAATGTCATAGTACTTAGGCTGTGGTTTCTCATCAACTTTTGATTTTCCAGTGTTCCATGCAAATAAGTTCCTTGGGCTTCCTCTCCACCTGTAAAATACAGTGTTTGAGACACAACAAGCCATTTATTTTTCCAGATAGATAACTGACCACCCATTTTTTTTATAACTTAGATGTATAACAAAAACATCTTATCTTCATGTGTTTGTTGTTTATTCTGTCATTGTTCTCCTCTCTTGTATGACTTGATGTTGTAAATTTGTAACAAAACGTTGGTAGCTTGGTCATTACTATCTCTGAACTTGGACTCTTGGTTGATTGGTGTTCAAAAAGAGATTGTTGGATTGGCTTTTTACAGTTTTTAAAATACATTTTTTTGGTAATATTTTTTAAAAATGTTTATGATTTAAACAAAACATAAAAATGTTAGTTTAAACCTCTTATTGTTGTTTTATGTTGCAATAGGTAGCCATGAGCCTTGTAGGAATATATTGAGTTGATGTCCACACAACCAAGCCACGAGTCCACGACGCCATTAATTAAGTTCAGATCGTACTTGGAGCCTAGGAGATATATGTGGGAAACTTACTACTCTCCTTTATACTTTATTATTCCTCTCTTTTCTTAATTTATCATAGAACAAGATAGGTTTGGCTATTAAGGAATCCACCACCTTACATTCTTGGTAAAAAAAGTAAAATTCATGGTTTGTGTTATTTCATTTGAATTATTTCATAATAAATTACGAAATTACTGTAATATTATTATGAAAGTTTAATGTATTACCTATTATAAAGTAAAATTAAAGTTAATTTGCATTTGCAAGGTGTTAGTTTGAAAGTTTCTATTAGTAAAAGGTAAATCGCATAGCCATATTAAATAAATATGTTTCTGTGAATTAAACAACAATGGGTCCATAGCTCAGTGGTAGAGCAATTGACTGCAGATCAATAGGTCACCGGTTCGAACCCAGTTGGGCCCTTTAAGGTAAATTTATTTTAACTCTAAGGACTATTAACCTCTTCATTTGCAGATGATTATGATAACCATTACTAATTGGCTTATCATCACACTTAACAACAATGTCATCCCCTGCCTTAAACTCCTTATACTAAACTACCTCCTCAATGATCTGATCCAATCTAGCAACCGTCTCCACTAGCAATGATAGAAAGGCCGCAAAAAGTAATGCCTCAGCAAACTCTAGGTTTATGACGACAATCTTTGCTCAATGTTGGCCTCAACATTTTTCTGTCTCCTTTATCTTCCTTTTCTTTTGGTGGAAGACCCTCAATCAGTAGCTTTAAAAACTCCTCCACCATAATCTGAGGATTCTCAACAATTTTGCCACACTAAGGTTTAAGACACTCTGCCCTACTTGAGTGGATGAAAAAGCAAGATCAGAAAATAATTTTCATTTACCAAAATTTTTACTTTTTTTTTTTTTTTTTTTTTTTTTGAAAGACCAAAATATTTACTTACTATCAATAAAGCAAATATTTTCATTTACTAAAATATTTACCTACTCTCAAAATAAATGTTCTCATTTTACACCCCAAGGCCCAAGGTCTTTTTTAACACCCATAAAAACCAAATGTAACCGTATAAAAGTGATGAAGGGAATACGGATTATTGAGTGTAAGGCCTTGTTTAGTTCAACTTATTTTTACTTATTTCAGAAAAAATAAGTTCGATCAGATCAGATCAGAAAAAATAAGTTCAGATCAGAACATCGTTTTATGTGCGGTTTTTTATCGCTAAATATTCTTAATTTCGTAATCAAAATAATTGTGAAAATTACATATTAATAAACTACACATTATTACGAATCTAACAAGATCCCACTTGATATATTTTTTCCTTATAGATTATCGTACACTTAAGGTCAAAGGTTGGTCAAATCAGACAATCAGATCAGACCAGACCAGATCAGATCATATCAGATCAGACCAGATCAGTATAAAAAAAGTGAACCAAACAAGGCTTTCTCAAGTCATTATTAGTTATCAAGTCATTATTAGTTTGCAACTCTATCTTATTCTCTCCGACGTTTGAAATTCTATAGATGTAATAAGTTGAGAAGCATATCTCAAGGCCTGGAACATCTGACTGCATTGGAGAAGTTGACCTTTTGGAGTTGTGAAGTGCTTGATGTATCAGTAAATGAACAACCAACGGCAAGTGGAGAGGGAGATGAAATGATGCCTTGGAAAGCCTTCAAAACTAATCTTCGCTCTTTGCAATTTGTAATACTTCCTAAAATGGTGGGTCTTCCGAGTGGCCTTCAACATTTGACGAACCTCCGTTATCTGCAACTAAAACAAAATGAAGAGTTGAGGGAAATACCGGAATGGATAAGTTGTTTGTCCTCTCTTGAAGATCTGGAATTGATCGATTGTCCCAAATTGACATATCTACCAGAAGTACATTAATAAAAGTGAAAAGTACAATTATAAATAAAGGTTAGAGAGAGAAAGTGGAAAAAAGTACAAAGCATGTGCAACAATCAAGGGTAATTTAGGAAGTACAATAAATAAAGTTAAAAATGTGAGGATATATTGGTCTTTACGTACTATCTAAAAATAGAAATAGGAACAACATTTTGGATTTTCAAAAGGAAAACAAGAACTATATTATAGGACGGAGGGAGTAGAAGATTTTCCCTTTTTTGTTTGTATTAATTTTATTTATGTATCTTAGGATATTACGGAGTATAATTTTTTAAATACCAAATACTCTCTTTAAGAAAATACTCATTCCATGCTACATTTATTTTTACTGGGTATAAATATTATTAATAAATTAGTCATACAACATCTATAACAATTATTAAAACAATTAATTTTAAGCATACTCAAACACAATACTATTTCCACCACTTCAAACCTGTAGCAAATAGTGTTTTTTGATGTCTTTGCATCTTTCAAGTGGAGGCTTTCACATTTTTTATTACGTGTTATAATTGTTTGGTTTGAAAAATTGATGTCATGACATATGTTGGGCCTTATATCCATCAATAACAACAGACACAATTTCAATAAATTGCATAATCAAGTTCAAATTAATACATACTAAGTACAATCAGTTTAGAAATTATTCTTAAATCAATTAATCAAAACCATGGGAAGGCAGATGGTTATTATGATAACCATTACCAATTGGCTTATCATCACACTTAACAACAATGTCATCCCCTGCCTTAAACTCCTTAAACTGTGCTATCCTACCAAGCTCTTCTACCTCCTCAATGACGCGATCCAATCTAGCAACTGTCTCCACTAGCAATGATGCAAAGGCCGCGAATGGTAATGCTTCAGCAAACTCTAGGCTTGTGATGGCAATCTTGCTCAATGTTGGCCTTAACATTTTTCTGTCTCCTCCACCTTCCTTCTCTTTAGGTGTTAGAGCCTCAGTAGCTGTAGCAGTCTTCTGATCTCGCTTATTCTTCCACTCAAGTAGGGCAGAAGAGTCAGTCTTAAAACTTGGTATGGCAAAATTTGTTGAAACTGTGGTAGGGGAGTTTTTAAAGCCATTGTTGGCAGAAGTTGCTAAGGTAAGAAAGTTGGGTGGAGCAGGGTGGTGGTTATCGAGGGTGGGATTAAGAAAGAGCCGAGGTTGAGATTTTAAGGCAGTATCAAGGTCTTGCAACGCTTCATGGAGGTGGTCTGAGAGGATTGATGGAGAGCAATGACGTCGGTTTTTAATGCTCCTTGCTAGTTCTCTTAGAACTTTCGAGACTTCTGCTGCAAGCCGGAAGCAGGGGTCCTTGAACAATGCGCGAACTGCTTTTGGAGTCTACAAAGGTAAAAAATCATTGAGGCTACATAGAAAAACTTCACATATATTAGCGTAGAAAGGTTACTCTAGTGATTAATCAGAAATGTAACTGCAGTACCTGTATTTCGGTCTGCAAACATCCGTGCAAAGCAACAACAGTATAGCCAAAATGCCGAAGAACTGCTCCTACCTTAACATACTGCTTCCATGGGAACCGATAGCAATACCTTGATGCCCGAGGCTCCCAGCTTGCATATAATGCCTGAAACAACCAGAATTTGACTAACTGCTCATCTCAAAAGTAAATATATGTACAGAGAACAGAACTGTAAGCTGTTGTTCATGAATAAACTACTGTCGTATGTAAGTTCAAGCATAATATGCATCCTTACCAGGGCCTCATCTGCAGATTTTGAATCTAAAATTTCATTATAGATTGGATCGTCAGACAAATTATCTTCTTCAGCTTCTGATTTTGAGTCACTGAAGTATTGTTGGACACATGCTGCATCAAAAACAATAGGAAGGCACTTAATGAAACTACTGATCATGCTGATCGAAACACTGCCTCAAAACTTGACTGTCATTCACATATATCATGTGAGCATTCACCATTTCCTTAAGTAAGACCATGTTCACTACTTTTACAAAACAAGTATACAATAGAAGTTAGTCTTAATCAGTATGTTAATGTTATATTAGTACTTACTTCAGTTTAATGAACATCAACTGAAGAGTATAGGAGCCAAGTCATATTATGTCACTTTCGTAAGTCTGTAAAGTGACTTGAAATCTTGGGTCGCTTTTACAAGCCGTGAAGTTATCAAAGAGACAAAGACTTGGCTCGGATACTACCTCAAGTGATTCCGTTTATGTTACACCACTAGAAGTTAATTATAGCTCACATGAAAGGATGAACACAGATGTTGAATATATTCAGTTATTTATACCAGCTTATGTAGTACTAGTTGCACATATTCAAGTCTAAGTTTACTCTTTTACCTTCAATAGAGTTAGCAAGGCCTTCAAGTTTGGAGACAGTAGAATTGTGTAGATCTTCCCCTGACCAATGTGGAAAAACCAAGAGACTCATTAAGAGGCAGATCCCACAGCCGATGGCAATGGTATAGAGCCGCTGTTGTGCTATGTGCAGAACATCATTGACGCGATAGCTAGACACCGTGATCAAGTTAAATGTTAACAAAAATATCACCACACCATAGTCATAATTCTTCTTTATATATGGAAAGAATCTTATATATGTAGCTGATGTTCCTGCCAAATCCAAACCATTAAGGTAAATCATCAACCCAACCACTTTATAAAATACAAGAAAGTTTTAACAGGATTGGATAGATGATCATAACCTACCAATTAAAAAAACTGCAAATGCAATGAAGATAGCGCGAAAGAGATGGTCAGATTTATTGGCAACAAACTCAATGAAAAACGCCAATGATCCAGCCATAATTGTCCCAAGTCCTCTGTTCAATCCCTTGCATAATGTTGCACCTACATCAACCATTTTGATGTCAGTTTTCAAAATTAACACGAGTAACCAGTACCAAGTGCATTATCAACGAACAGACCCTATAATGATGCTATCAAGTATCAAACAAGCAAAAGAACTAACCTGCAGTAAACTCGAGAACAACAACAACAGTCATAACAGCCCATATAGCATTTTGTCCAACACTGTTGAACAAAGGCTCCAATAGATACAACAATGACACCAGTGTCAATGACAAACCGACTTTGAAAGCATGGATCACGCGTCTAGGGTCCTCTCTACCAACATCCAAGAATGTTCTGTATACCAAACCTGCAAACCTCCTTAACCTCTCTTCATAAAATCCCGTCTTACCCTTCTCATCATTCCATTCTTTTGATGAACTCGAAACCGGACCTCCTGCTTTAGCATCCATGCTGTCAATCCCCATTCTCAAGTTCACAAAGGAGCATACTTTGCTCCTTAGAGGCTAAGATACTAACAAGAATATAATCAAAGTGACTAATAATGCTCAACTTTGATCTTAAGTATTGTATAAAAATGAATATGGTAAAAATATATAATATAAGGTGTAACTATATAGGTTTGGTGGCAGATTATAGTAGTTTGGAGAGTTTTTGGAAGTTCTAGAGTTTTGATGAGTGTCACAAAATATAGCTAGATACAATAGAAGGGGTGGTGTAACTTTATGTGAACAATAGAGGGTGATATAAATTAAAATGCTTCTTTTCTTATATATTCACATGCATTCTATTAAAAGTATGGTTTGATATGAAAGGATGCTTAAGGTACGGTGGTTGTTTTCATTAGATAGTTACTTATAGGAAAGTCAAAGGGCATGAGAAAGCAATATTTACCACAATTGCTAAAAGGATACTACTTCATTCGATTCATGTTTGATTCAAGTCAAGTCTAGTTATCTTCATTTATTGGGTATATATTTGTTAAATATACAATTAGTTTAAATCAGTTTAATCTTTGAGTCAGATTGGATTAACTACTTTGTGGGACGGAAGAAGTAGTTAACAAGATTTGGAAGTCAAGATGTTGACCGTACGTGATGATAAGGAAAATGATTATATGGATGTTAGAACGTATGTGATGACGAGGAAAATGATTATATTGCTCATAGTAAGTGATAGAGGTCAGCTGTTTATGAAAATTGTACACGGATCTCGTTTAAATTATTTGTCTTTTATAGCTCTCTCTACATCAACCAAGCAAGCCTAATCAATTAATCATTCCTTTATGGCCATATGCATTAATATTGCAGCTATCTATAGTGGTGAAAGTTTCTCCAGTAACAGATATTGACCTCACCTAACACTGCTCAAAGTTCAAACTTACTATGAAACAAAGGTGTGAAATCTTTATTTTCTTTTGCTCTTTTTTCTTTCATTTCTACGCAAAATGGGAATCCTTTTTTTTTCACTGACATTATTTGGGATTTTGAGGTGCGTTTTATACTTTTATTTACTTAATATGTACTTATTTGAATTGGAATTTATCTTTTCTTATTATAACTAATTTGAAATTATCTTAACTTATTCAAACTTATTAAAAATAATCTTAGTTCTAAATCAAAATTGATAATCCTTATTAAAACTTAATTCTATATTTGAGCTTATTATTCCTACAATAAGTGGAAATAAACTAAACAAAATAAGCCCTTAGCATTTCAGTTATCATTACTCCATATTTAACAAGGAGTTTGATTTCATTTTGTTGTAGGTTAAAAAAAAACAACCATACTTCTAATTTGCTTGGGACCTTTTATTAAAGCGATGTATATAAACCGTTTACAAGCAAACATACACTTAACTTCATGTAAATTCTTAAAATATAATTGATTTATTCGTAATTATATACTCCGTACTTCGTATATCAATAATGGAACACAAATGTACGACGTGGAGTAGCAAATATCATCTAGCATGACCGATGAAATCAATAAACTCATCTTGATACCGAATTTCATTTACATCGTTATCCTTCATGACTCCTTCAGAACATCCCCCAATTAAGTAAATATAGCACGTTGCTCCTGAAAACTTGGACCCAGCAAGGCAGCAATACATCAAATTGACCTAGCCTAATCAAATTCACTGATAACTGGGTTTCCTAATTCCTATAAGACTCAGGCTGAATGGCTAACATTTAGCAGCCATCTAATACTCAATAATAGTTTAGCGAACTCTTTCTCAAACCTAAACAATCTCCAACATCTGTTTCTGGGTTATACTTCCTGCTAATATTACTTACAGAGTTCAGCAATTATCATCACAAACAGTACTCCATAATAAAGAACATCAACAAACATCACTGCAAATATATCGGAAAATTTCAAGGCCGAAGAATAATAGCAATCATAAGCATGAAAAAGAACAGTAAATTTTACCACAATTTTGTCCACCAGAGGCTACAACAATTTACCATCAAAGTATTAGCTTTCCCTTATTAACAAGGTTATGTAATATATACCATCTGTGAAGTTTTAAGTATAGTCAAACATCAGGTAACCATGTCAAATCACCTTCCTGGTGACTTATTTTATAGCATTTCATGCTTCGATAGTTTGAAAACAGAAGCACATAACACGATTTTTCTGCTCCCCACCCCCTCTTATTTATATACATTGTTTCCTGCAGAGTGCACTCACCTGTAGAAGTCCGTGCAGTAAAAATATTTCAGCCACAAACTGAGTGTCTATGAGCTAGCACCAAAAACGCGGATCTTCTGTTCAATGGGACAACTGCAACAGGGACAAATCGCTTTACCCTTCTTCCCATAATCCTCGCCACAGTTAGCACACATTACTTGATGTGCACAAGGGAGGAACACAACGGAAACTTCCTCTTTCATACAAATCAAGCATTCTCTCTCTGACCCTTCCTTTTCAGGTTCATCCAATTCCCGGAGAAGCCTTGCAATAGTCCCCCCTTGATTTTTTGCTGCTTCAGGGCGTCCTGTAGGAAAAACATCTGAAGAATCACGATGTGGCTCAATGAGATGCGCACTTGCTTTCAGACGGGACAGTTCCTGCTCAAGCCTTTGGAGATCATCCTTGTGACGCTGGAAGTCTATATCTATCCTCATGCGCAAGGCTTCAAGCTTTCTCTTGTTGTTTCCCTCTGTCGCTTCCTTGGAACGTCTTTCTTCCTCCACCTGAGTCATTGCATGCTCCTTTTTCTTCACTTCCTTCTTCCACTTCGACTGTCATTATATACTTGATTTAGTAAATAGATAATTTGAGCTAACTTCAGCTGGAATTATAAGCAGCCAACTAGAAGAGAATGGCATCACCCTTTAAAATATTGTGTACTAGCAATAAACAACTCAGACACCAGAATAAGATTTTAAAATAAGCTACTAATTTGCCACATTTTCTTCCCCTTCGTTTCAAAATCTCTTTCTTCTTTCTTTTTTGGGGCTGAGGGGAAGATAATGGACAAAAAATACCAAAAATATCAAGAAATTAACCAAAACAAGGACAAACAGGTACAGAAAAACAGAAAATAAAGCGCAGCTACACATAGTAATGTACCTGCAAGTGCATTACAGCTGTTAACTAAAAGCCACCTTCAAACAAATGCTTGGTTCAGAATTAAATCCAATGAAAAAAGTACTCCGTATCACTTAAGACTTGATAAACAAGCAAATTTACATATGATCACAAGACCAAGTACAGATACAAGGCATTAACCTCAATATAATCATATACAAATAATATGGCAAGGAAGAGTGTATTTGCTTTATTGATTCATCTATAAAGATAACAGTGCATTCTACGGGAGAAATTACCACAGAAATACAGTCCTTATATTGTCTAACAATTCCATTCAGTCAGTAAACGGGAAATATTTTTAAGTAGCTAATGTCAACATTCACCAAAGACCAATGCATGTACATCTGTATCAACTGTAAATTAGAGAAGCAAAAGACCAGGAAATTGCAGAACCACATTAGTTGAATAATCACAAAAATATACAGAGCAAGAGAAAAAATACGTATGTGGGAAAATAGGAAGATAACTGATAAAATAGAGTGAAAGATTTTTGCAGAAAAATCAGACATCTTCCCTCTTTCCTCTTAAGTCGATAAGAGCTAGTCAGGAATATGTTTCATAAAGTACAATTCAAGTTTTAGTACACAACATGAATAATAGATTAAATTCTTAGAAGCATTCACACAACAGAGCAAACCCTTCCTCTCATTTCTGAAGCATGCAGGATTATATTATCCCACAATAATTAACCAATACTCTACACCATAAGCAGCAAAAGTGGTTGTATAAGTTATTCAAGGCCAGATTATTCATGTTTTGACCTACTTTACATGTAAATTAAGCAGCTTATACTTTTGCATCAGGTCAATTAATGGAATCTAAGTAACATTAACAGTACAATTTATCCATTCTTTTTAATTACAATGTTTAGACTTTAGCACTATTCATATACTAAGTTTGACCATATTATTTACAAACATATAAAAACAAATGTAATTATGTAATATGTTACTTTTTATAATATTTTTTATGAAAGGTATTTTTCACCATTTTTTACTAATACAAAGTACATAATTAAATATACAAATTAATGGTCAAGGTTTTGCATTAACAAGCGTGATAGAAAAAGTGTTGCGATTAAACAGAGGAAGTACATGACAATAGAATATCCTATATTACAGAACTTTTTTATTGTCCCTTTTCTATTATTAGAAAAGATGTATACACATAGTGTGAGATGCACTAAAGAGAAGAAGATAAGACATCATCTTGGCAAGTACAATCTCCTTTTGTTTGGCCATCAGTATCCTAACATGCAGTGGAAATCAGTGTCATCTGAGCAATTGATATAAGAAGCTATTTCATGAAAGAGTCCCTAAATGATAGTATGAAATCTCACATGACATAAATATTCCATATCCAAAATTCAGCTAAGCATTTCACATCAGCAAAATTCATCCTCCCAAAAAAATGAAATGCCGGATAATAAACACCAGATATATTCAATGGTAAGTCAACAAAAGCAAAAACAGCCAGGATTTTTAGGACCAAAGATCTTTCCGCAAGATGGTAAAGAAGGGCTTTCACCCTTGCTCAGTTCCAACTTCTAGCGGAATTCTGGAGGGTGCCACCCATTAAAGATGGCACTAAAATCCTTTCTTACTTATGTTCATTTCAAACTAATCTCTAGATCTGTATATAATTTCAATTTTTTCATGATTTCATGAACAAACATAGAAATCTGAGGGGGATCGAGCCATCGATAAAGGAAGAATTCTGATCTGAGGGACAGATCACCCTCCCAACTAACCTCACATTCCAAAAGCATACCCTGTATTAGATTGAGGCAATGCACACAACAAAGTATCATAGCTCAAAACCCTGGATACATGCTTGCTAATTCCTGATGGAGGATTAATAATTTCCTTGCTTAAAAGAACCAGCATACCCAAAAAAAAAAAAAAAAAAAAAAAACATACAGAATACTAAGAACATTTATGAAATTTCCATGTGTAGGATGACCTCCAAATATTATACAGGCCATGATGTAGGGCAAAAGGGTTATAAATTTGGCTTCATAAAGCTAAACAGTTACTAAAAGAGTAATCCTTCCTATGAGACATGTTTCTTCAACCATGACAAATGTATATAAACTAGCAAAGAAGGATATATAGTATCAAGTTAGCTCAATTTTTAAGTAGTATGGAGAAAAAAAAGGTTTAAAAAGAACTACATCCAAGCAAATTACGCCATCAACTTACTGATAGTTTCCTACTCTTAAACCGAGCAGTGACGTAGGATGGGACATTTCATTGCATGAATATGCGCCATTATGAGACCCATGTCAAACAGATAAGTCCTAGACTCCTAGTTACCTTAGGAAGATCGTCAAGAGAGTTTAAGTATGGAAAAAAATTCATCACAGCAACAGCATTTCACTGATAAGAGAGTAATTGCAGCAAAAAATGACAGGGAAATAAGCGTGCACATAGAAACAGCGCATAACAAAAATTAAGCAATTATTACACGTTTACACACCTCAGCTTCCTTCTGATCCGCAAGAATCTGCAGAAATTGCTGTTGCAAGTCGGCAATCTTCTGTTTTTCAGCAGCAATTTCTTCTTGCATCTTCATTTTCTGTTTCTCCCATGCCAAAAGTCTCTTCAAACACTTCTTCTCTCTCTTTGCAACCTCTAAACAGGTTGTGACTGACTCAGATGCACTCAGCTTAGAAGCCTCCATCTCTGCTCGAATTTCAGCATTCTCGACCTCAAGCTGTCTAACAGCTGCATTGGCACGATCAACCTCACTGCTAGCCTTCCTTAGAGAATTCTCCATTTCAGATAACCTCTTCATGGTTGAATCTTCCAGGGTCTGCTTACCCTTTTTTAACCTCTGAGTCTCCTCTCTCTCAGTTCTCAATATCTTAAGTTCTGTCAGATCACTGCTAAGTTTTCTAGCAGCTTGCATTGCCTTCTGATGAGCCCATTCCTTACGTTCATTTACCTGCTTCTCTAAATCCTTTACTTGATGCAACAAAGTCAAGATTATCTCATCCTTCTGATCCTCTGTAACACACTCTAAATTCTCATCAAGATTCAAATCTTGAAATTTACTCAACAAAGAGTTCACAATGTCTTGGTTATTATCATTAGACTCCACACCAGGCTCACTTGGCACATCAACAGTGGCGGGTGCAGTTTCTTTTGTTGAATCACCACTAACCACAGAGCTGGTGCAAGGTTGAGATTGCATTTGTAGCTTCTGTTTGGAGCGGAACCCAGCAGCAAAGGCTGCAACATTCCTCTTCAACAGGGACTTCATCGAAGGACTGAGATTAAACCTCTTAGCACAATCAATCTCTCTCTGAATGCTAGCTTCTGAATACGGGAAAAAGCCACCAAAATCATTACTAGGAAGCTCTGAATTGGGCCCATTTCCAAAACCCCAACCCCCATGGAACTTACACAACCCAGGGGGGACACTAACTCCAGAACCAGAGGAGTTGGTACCAACACTTTCCACATTGCTCACTGCATTACTAGGTGAGGAAAGCATAGGAATGTCAATAGTACTCGCCCGACCCACATGAAGATCACTCATAAGGAGGCACCACATTGCATCCCCTCGACTCAAATTGGGACGAACTTGCTGCAACAGACAAACCATACCCGCAAGAGAATACTCTTCCAAATGCCTCAAATCCGTAAAAATAAGCTCGGACTCCTCATGACCCCCATCATTTCCACAACACCCACTATTCAAAAAAGCCAATGAATTATGCAAGATATTAGTCAACACATCCATACCCCCATAGCAATGTCCATTCTTCAACACTGCTTTCAATGCAACCTCCTCATCATATCCTAGAGAAACAAGCTTCGACAACGCCTCATTATACAAAAACTCCAATTGCTTCAACAAAATCTCCTCTAATTGTTCCTCAGTACAATACCCCCATCCACAATCATCAAAACTAGGGTTCTGGGCATTACTAGAATTTGGGTTATTATTAGGGTTTGAAACAGCATTTTGCATAGAATCATTAAAACCCATGTTATACGCCCATGGTTTAAACCCAGATTCAAGCATAGACTTAGCCAGTGCAGAAGTTCTATCATTAAATAGAGTTTGATGGTGATGATGAAGATTATCAACATCTGTGTTTGTGGGTTTCATTGATCTTGATCTTCTACTTGTTCTAATGTGTTTTTCCCTCACAGTACAACCCATTTTGAAAAACAAAATTTATGTTTCAAAACCCAGTAAATTAACTGCGCTTATAAAGATTCAATCGGAAAGAAATAAGAAAGATACAATTTTTGTTGTAATCTGCTCTAATTTGATGCAAGATTGAATGAAATTAAAGGGAAATTTTCAATTAAATAAAGGGGAAATTGAGAAATTAACTTAAGGGGACATTCAATCGAAAGGGGAATGAATGAATGAATGACTGAACGAACTCACAGATGAGAGGATTGAAGATCGTAACGTCAATTAAATTTGTGTGGTCCGATGTTGTATGCCGTAGCTGCGCCTGGACAGAACCCGCAGTAGTGTGCCTGTGTCTGTGTATGTGAGGGTAACAATTAGAGGAAATGTTTATATATTACTTCTTCCGTCCTTATTTTTTGGTCTAAATTTGGGTTAAACTTTAACGGATAATTCCCGTTACTCCGTATTTTACAAAAAAAGAATATTTTCATGTGCAATCTTGTTTGATTCGTTTATTATATAGTTTATTAATGTCAGTTTATAATTTTTACACGTATATAAATGAAAACATAAACTTTAACAAGAATCTATGAGTCCGTAAAAAGTCAGATGAGACAAAAGTTAAGGACAGGGGGAATATAAGGGTTCACAATAAGCTCTAATAAGGGATGTATTACCAACCAGACAACCATGTTTGGTGGAGATAGCGAGGTACTCACTTTCTAATTTTGAGGTCACACGTTCAAATGTTGATCTATTAAATTAAGAGGCAATGTTCAATAAGGTGATTCTCCAATGTTTAACTCACAAATATTTGACTCTGAATTGAGAAATAAACTGCAATCTTAATGTTGATGTATTAAATTGAGGGACAACGTTCAATAAGGTAATTCTCCAATGGTTAACTCACAAATATTTTACTCTGAATTGAGAAATAAACTGCAACCTTAATGTTGATGTATTAAATTGAGGGGCAACCTTCAATAAGGTAATTCTCCAATGGTTAACTCACAAATATTTTACTCTGAATTGAGAAATAAACTACAACCTTGAGCCGACAATTGATGAGAACTTGACAATCAAATTAGAACAAAATCTTCATATCCTGTAGCTTATCGCAAGCTTCAGCGTCAATAGGAGCCCCCCCTTTTCCTACAATTTTTGTGCCAACAAGCTCTAATCCTTGAAGTGGCAACAAACAAGACTTCACCATTATGATTTCGAGCCACAACAACCATGCAACATGTCACACATTGTACCACTCCTATCTACCAGCAACCTCCCACACCCTCCCTCTTCCCACAGCTACTGCACACACATGCAGTTAAAGATAGCGTGATTACACAAATTGTTGGCCAAATCACACCAAGGGCAGCTTGCATTTTCTGTCAGGGGTTAGAGTTTTCAGAAGCGCTTTAGTGGGCATTGTGTCAATACACAATCTCCAAAAGAAGTGTTGCACCTTTGTAGAAGCCTCCATGTTCCATATTTCAATCGCTTGGAGAGTGAGGGATAGTTCAAGTGATTAAAACTTCTCTCACAATTTCAGAAAATCCCGTAATTGATTTTAATCACTCACTCTTATGTCTCATAGATATACCTTTTTTTCCATGGGATCTCCCATCTCGAGATCCCATAACCATTATCCTCATATTCATTCTCCACCATTCATTCTCACTTCATGGAAGACACCTCTCAACAATTTCTTCAAACTAAACTTCGACGGTTCGGTTCGCAACAACTTAACAGCAGCAGGAATCATCATCTGAGATAGCAGCGGAGCCCCCATCAAGGCATCTACTTTCAACCTCGGCAATACCAAAGTATTTATAGCAGAAGCTACAACTCTTCATAGAGGAGTCCAACTAGCTCTTCGATATGGCATTCAGAACATTCAGATTGAAGGTGATAATATATTAGTCATCAACTCAGTGAAAGGCATTTGGGCAATCCCTTGACTGATCGAGCATATTATAAAAGATATTCGGTCTCTCCTCACTCAGTTTCATAATTGGAGTATTCAACACATTTACCGAGAGACAAATCGAGCAGCAGATTGGATCGCTAATGTAGGCCATTTAGTGTCTGAAAAGATGGATATTGATGTTTATAATAGCTCTAGTCTATTCCTTATTCTTTCTTCTGATACGTTAGGAATTTTCTTCGTGAGGAGGGCTTCCTAATGTTATTTTCCTTACCTTTAAAAAAAACAAAAAAAAAAAAACAAATGCTTGGGCACCCCAATTAATTTAGACCATAAAGGGGGAAAAAGAAAATTAGCAGATTTTTGTCCTCAAAAGTTGGAAAATAGACATTAAAAAAAAACTAAAAAAAAAAAAAAAAAAACCTTAAGAAAACCTTTTTACATGTCAACTTGAGTCAATAAGTCGGGTTCTGATTAAATTTCGGATTGTTTGGTTCGAGTAGTTTGGGTCATTACAAAATATGATAAATGGGTCAAATTGGGTCAATTTTGAGTTGAATTTTCTGATTTTCTCTCAATACTCGGGTTTGGAATTGGGTTGACATGTGACTATGTGAGAGACATAATAGTAGAAACAATAACAAAAAGTGAAAATTACTGTTGTGAGCTTCCATACTTTTTTTTTGTTTGGAGTGAAAATGGCGACGACGGGAGGAAGAGGACGAACCAGTAGAGAAGGGACAGCGAAAGCAACCGTGGCTGATCAGATTTCACAGTCAATCCAATCCACCTCCAATCTTCTCCAACTTATGCAGAATTCTTCTCCTTCTCAGGCATTTCTCTCTCTTCATTTCCACCCCTTCTATCTTATATACTTCCTTTTTATATTATTTTTCTGGAAATTTCAGTTATTTCATGAATCTGACAAATTCATTCTATCGTTCATTGTTAGGAGAGTAATTTATCATGTATCATATTTCCCCAATTTTGATTTTCTAGGGTTTTGGAGCTGAAAATTTTAATCAAATTTTGACTCCTTTTAGGATTGATCATGCTATATACATTGCTCTTGATTGTAGCTAAGTTTGTGGATTTTCTTCTAATAATTTGGAAGGCGGAGACCCAGGTGTAGCTAGGTGATCAAAGCTTTTTTTTTTTTTTTTTTTTTTTTTTTTTTTTTTTTTAAGCTCTTCGTTTTATCCTAAGCAAATTATCAAAGCGATTATATATTTTTGAATGTTAGGTGATATATAATGGTATTTTAGCCTTGCTATTTTTCATGTGTCAATTGATTATATGGATGAACGCACCTGATGACTAGTAGACAGTAGTGATCGGGAATAAACCGGAATTAGATTATTGGACAGAGAAATGTTACAAAAAAAGGTCCAATTTAGGCCAAGAAATTGATAACATGAGTGGGATATCAGTGAATTATGAAGTTAAAAAAAAACCTACTCCTACTTAATTGCGTGGGAAAGTTGGTTTTTTGCAGTTTTGCTTGTTAGAAGCCTATATTGGTATGTTCGTTCATTTGTTTGTTATTCAAACCGTATTGTGCATAGCTAATACCCTAACTGGATTGTGTTATTCGTTTTGGTAAATGAACCTAATAGTTTAGCCTTTAGGGCACCTACAGATTTAGCCATTAGCCCATTACCGTATATACGAACACTTGCCGAATCATGAGAATGGAGTCAATGAAGAACAATACTGTAGTTCTATTGCATTGATTCGGTGGATTGTAGCAATAATGGACGATTGGACGCAATGTGGAAGGATGATATGAGATAGTACTTGTGATTAAACGAGTAAGTTGAAGTAAGGATATTAATAAATCAAGTTGAATTATTTTTTGAGAAAGTATAGTTAGCCTGAAAGTAGCATTATAACTTTTTAAAACCTAGGTAGAGAAAGGAAAGGGATGTTCCCCTAGTTTATGAGGTAAAGGAAGCATTTACATACAGTTTGTTGGGGATTTATGCTGGAAAAGCACCAGCGGTGGTGCACCTAGTTAAGTCATGTGGCATTTAATCATACTAGTGAAATTGAGAAACCTTAACGTAATTTTTGTCAATTCTAGCATATATGTTGATTTTTTTCATGTGTAGGTTCACCTGGCGAAGCTTCCCAAGAACCTTTTGGCAAAGACAGATACCATAAAAAATACAGGACAAGTATGTTGTTTCATCTACTACGTATAAGACTCATGTAAGCAGAAGTGCCTAAGCTCAAATTTCATTCTTAGTCACTTAAGAAATGATGCAGGTGTTGCAGCAGCTGCCACTAGTGATTTCCTCACTTGATGCATATATGGAAAATGGTTTGCAGAGGTTTTGTATCTTATAATTTCGCCTCTTTTTTTTTTTTCAAGGAATTGGACCTTTTGTATCTATCAATTGATCATTGGGCATCCTCTCTGTGTTTCCTCATCTTGTTGGTTTACATGTATGCAGTATTCCTCATTTAAATACTGTAACTCAGCTGCTTACAAACATGGAAAGCTCCCAACTCAAGTCTTCCTCTCAACCCTCTGAACAGGTAAGTCAAGTCATCTCACCTCCGCTTCCCCCTGCCACCCACTTTAAATTGGTTTCTTAAATTATGCTTTTGTGATGAAGTTCACGGGGTCATTTTTTAGAATTTAATTGTAATATCTGGATTGAACTTATGCTACTGGGTTTGGCTTAGATTTCCATACATGTCTGGATGTCCCTTATCCAAAGAGTTGGATTTGGCTGTTCTTACAGATGAGTTTATCACTTTATCACCCTGTAAACTTCTAGAGTATTGATGGCTTTTCTCATTGCAGTCTCAAGAGGAGGCAGCAAACCAATCGTCAGGGGAGCCTTAAACTGCCTGGCTAGAGTGGTAAGAGGAGTTAATCAGTGGAGGGGTATTCTGCAGAGACGAGAAAACCTCTTCAACAAGGTTTTCCAGCCGCTCCAAAGTGTCCTTTTAACATTGAAGTGATATACGAAGTATATCACACTCCATTCTGATGTACATGGCTCTATTTTTTCTATAGAGGTAGGGTGGTGTGAGAGTGAGGGGTAAAGATGAAGAAAATGAGAATTCAAGCCATAGCCTGCATTCGTATACTGTAGAAAGGCATAGCATTTGTGTTATTCCAGCTTACTATTCAAAATTGTGTTGCATTCTACTGACTGGCATTCGATTTTTTCCTACTGAAGTGATCATCTCAAAAAATGGATGAGAATTTTCAATATCCAAGAGGCTTAGTTTTTCTCCTAAAACAAAAGACTTCTTGACAAAATTATATTTGATTGGACTGCTAAATTTCCAAACCAGAGCTCAACGCGTTTGTTGTGATATCATATGAAGCTAATAAGCCGTCAATCAAGTAGGAGATTGTGTGAATGTAATGATCATTCTATGTAGTAAGCAGCTCATAGTACTACACCTATTGTGACACACCAAAGGGGCTAAAGCTCAATATAGATGCCTAAACGGCTAAACTTAAATCGCCAAGATGCCAAATAGACAACAGTAATACGGAGTGCAACCTATACAAGGGTGGAGAACATTGTCCTTAAATCATGATAGTGCATTTTTCATTTTTCTTTGTTTGGCTTCTAAGGCGACAATTTTTATTTGGAATAATCATTGGAAACCTTCGTAGAAGAACTCACAAATGACGATGTATCAAAACAAGTCTACATAACTCAAGTGGCTAGCAATAATTGTCAATGTACGAGTATGCAGTTCAATTGTTGAAGAACTTAACAACGAAATAAACACAAATGACAATTTGATATTCATGAGTCATGACACACAAAATCATTTCTTATGGTATAATTCTTCCAAAACCTGTTTTAAACGTTTTTAGACTTTTGTTAGTCTTGTGATTGTGAGTAGCTTTCAAAATTTTACTTAGTTTAATGTTGATATAAACTGTTCCTTTTTTTTTTTTTTTTTGGTTGATAAGTACTGAACCTTTTGTGCAACAATACTTAATCCTATCAAGAGAAATACTTATTAAATTGAACAGTCGTAGCATTAAAATTGGATGTAACTTTAGTTGCATGCATAAGTAAGAACGTTTTTTTGATACTGATGGGCTTAGAGATGACTAGGTGCATTGTCATCAATTGCACGAAATTTCATGGTTTGGGGGTAAGAATATATGATACGTGACAAATAAATTAACAAATTTGGCATTTTGGCTGATTAGGTCTTTAATCTTATCTCAAGTGGATAATGTCATAACTCATAATGATTATGTTAGATCAAGATAAGTACAATGACGATATATGTACGATGCATCCATCAATGTTTAAGGTTGGATCAAGTTCTGTCGAAGTCGTGTCATGAAATATATATTTGATTATACAATAATAACACTTAAAAGAGTATTAAATAATTACATCGATCTGACAAATATATATAAATCAGATTTAAATTATTACATCACACGATCAAGCATGATCGGTGGAGATTTACGCATGTCAAATGATTGCATACCATCCATTCAAGACCAAAATCCAATCATGGAATAAAAAACCATGAAGCTAAGAATTGTACAAAGAACTAATTCCATTTGAGTAAAGAAGGATAAATTTGTTAAGAGAATATCACAAAGAAGATGACAATGCTTTCTCATTTCCATGTAATTGATGTAATCTTAGAGCACTTGGCAAACTACCAAGAAAATAAAAGAAAGAGTAGCATGACATGACCCCACCACCGAATTATATTCGGGTTGCCACTCACAAGTCCAAGTCCAAGTCCAAGTGGGGAATTCATGGTTGGTCTACGTGTGTGTTTTGTGTTTTGCCATAGAAATTCTCGTGTCTCTTTGAAAAGTGTACTTTCATGGTTTAAAACACACCCCTTTCGATCCAAATATGTAGCACGAGTTATAAGCTTACACGAGTTAAAGACTAGGATATGCGTTTTCTTTTTTTAACAAACTAAAGGATGGATGCTTACGTTTTCATCTCATCTTCTAGATTGATGTATGGTATGCTCGTAATCAACAATGTATCTACTCCGTAGTACTTCAACTATTTGTTTTTTTGTAGCTAGAGAAAGGGATAACTATCCTACTATCATCTAATTCATTAAAAGGTGTGCGAGTTAACGATATTCACTATTTTGTATGGAGTAACGATGTTGAATAGTTGATGTCAACTTCTTTAGTTAGAATTTGGATATAACACAATACTCAATGCTAAATTTATAATTTGAAAAGAGAAGAGTGGATGTGATGTGAATCTGTTACTTTCTTGCCGCGATAGCTCTTGAGACAATATATTGAATACGAAGTACATGACTTCTTGTCGCACCAAGTTGATGAGTAAAGTTGGATGATTCTATGTCAGTCGTCCTTAAAATGACTACCATTATATTAATTTTTTATTGGCTGATTTTTTAATTTAATTTTAATGTCAAAATTAAATATAAATCATTTATCTAATTTTTCATATTTATTTATTGATTTTTAAATAAATAAATAAATAAATATAAGCCATGTGGTTAGTTTTACACTCTACGCATGGTTGATATTTTTTGGGTCCTACTGGGCCAGAACCTCTCACAGGTCCTCTCGACTCGGGTTAGCAGGCTAGACACTTTGGAAGTGGGGCCGCCGGGGGGGGGGGATGGATAAGGAAATCCCCACCCTAAAGTGCCTCTAGTGGCAAGATTTGCATTTCACAACCATCCAAGCTATGCTTGGTCATAAGGTTGATAATTATACTCTATTAATAATACAAAGTAATTTTTTAAGGAAACTTTACATTTATATGACAATCAATAAAATAAAAGTATAAATTTGAATAATGATAGTAACAAGTCATTGTTTATAAATTGCATGCATCATGCATTACAATAAGGTGTGCATCTTTTATGAATTTGATGATTCTTATTAGGCCCCATTCACTTCACCTTAATTTTGCTGAAGTGAAATTATTTTTACTGAATTGAAATTATTTTTACTGATTTAAACTGAATTTTACTGATTAAAACTGAATTTTACTGAACTTATTTTTCCTGAACTGAAATTATTTTTACTGAACTGAAATTATTTTTACTGAACTGAACTTATTTTTACTGAACTGAACTTATTTTACTGAACTGAAGTTATTTTTACTAAACTGAAATTATTTTTACTGAAATGAACTTATTTTTACTGATTTAGATATTATTTTTACTGATTTAATATATATATATATATATTAGGTAAAATAATCTATTTTTGTAATTTATATAGTTGGTATATATAACGATATTTATTATGCCAACCATTTAAATTTACATAATATCGTACATAAAAATGGTTGGCCTATATATTATGGGAATATGTATTTGATATACTTGTATATGATATTAGGTTTAGGGATACTGCCTTTAATTTCATTGCCTAACTTTACAACCAAACATACCAAAACAATAAAACTAATAATAATAAGAATAAAATCATAACTTTATTATAATCATAAATTATTACAAGGATTGCTTCTTATTGCATATGACTATTTAAGTTTATTATTCAACGTCCATATGATGATCTTCTTCCTCGATGTTCCTAACTGATTGCCAAATATGTTCTGCTATCTGATTTTGTACTATATCCATCTGAGCTTTCCTACCTTCATCAAATATGGAGTATTCCGCTCTAGGCTCAACATTTGCACATCTTTCTGAAATTGGTATCCCTAAAGTGTACAATCGGATAAAATTATGAAGAGTAAACATTGATAAGATGATTGATAATTGATATGTTTGAGACATTTGTGGCATGTTTTTCAAAATTTTCCATTGCCCCTTAACGTTGCCAAAACACCTTTCAATTGTAGTACGCAATGAAAAATGACGATAATTGTAATGTTCTAGCATTCCTCGAGGTGGAGGACCATTGTGAAATTCCGGCATATGATACCTTGTCTGCTTGTCTTTAATTGGACTCAAATAACTGAGTGTGTTAGGATAACCAGAATCCACTAAATAATATTTTCCTGATAAGAAAATAAAATTTTTATTAGAATAAATTATCATGCTAAAAGAAAATAATATTAAAGAATTACCTACCTAGAGGAGGGTGTGGAAATTCGAATTTAGGATCAGTTAAGCAATTTTTCCACACCGTTATATCATGAGCACTTGACAAAATATAGTACTTATATTTACCAAATATCACCGACTACAATATTATCAATAAGACATAATATTTTATACTTGACAAAAAAAAAATATATTATATTTTATAACTATACAATATGTGATAAAAGTATAGACAAAAGTGACGCATAAAAAAAATATATGTGAATTATTAAAAAATCTTGTACGACAATATTTTGCAATATATGGAAAAAATAATTTACAAAAAAAATCCTAGTAAAAAAAAGCATCAAAGTACATGAACTTAAATTAATTTTGCTGAAATTATTATTGCTGAGCTTAAATTATTTTTATAGAACTGAAATTATTTTTGTTGAACTGAAATTATTTTTACTGAACTTATTTTTACTGAACTTAAATTATTTTTACTGATTAAAACTGATTTTTACTGAACTGAAATTATTTTTACTTAATATTATTTTTTTAAGGTGAAGTGAACAGGGCCTTATTAACCGTAGTTGGACTTTTCATTCCTTACTATTCCATAACCATTGTTTGATTGAGAATATCTACAAGTATTTTGAAGGGTTTATTACAATAAGCATTACCGAATTGGTTTTTTTTTTCATGTAAATGTCTAAATGAAGTCAATTTTTTATTTTTTTTAATTATTAATTTTTTAACAGTAATTTAAAGAAAATGTGGCTTAACTATTATGAAAATTTAGGCTTCTTAATCCAATCTGATTTGATTGTCTTATTAGATTGGTACTCTGTATTAATGTGCATTTTTGTAACATGTGATTTTCATTTTTTTTTTGAAGGAAAACACGTGATTTTCATGAGTAATAAATTGATATGATTATTGATTTATTGGGGATAAAATTTAGAACTATTGTAACTCTTTAGTCCCTTTTTTTTAAAAAAAAAATGATTCTAGTATCTGGCCCTTTTTTCTGAAAAATGATCTTTAATATCAAAGGTATGAGATGAGGTATTCGAAATATTATTGTTAATTTTTATAATGTTATCTCCGCGTCTAGATAAAATTAACTCCATGAACCAATAATTTTTATTTAAGATCTACACCATGCTTTACCAAGTCCTCATTTTGGGTGTTTCACACTTTCACATCACAATAGTATACCAGCTACCCCGACCTCATATGGTTCAAATCGTTTGAATAGATCAGTTACGACAATACAACCTAAACCGAAAAAAGTTACTCCGTAGTTAAGTGGTCAAATAAAATGTAACGCCGTAGCTCACCCAAACCCTGTCCACATACAATATAATAGTAGTAGTTGTCTCTCTCCTCTCCTAGTAGGCAAAGAGGGGCCAAGTCCTAGAAAAGCAAGTTGCGCAAAGTTACGACATCACAAGGAGGAATACATACACCCCGACTCTCCGCAGAAAGCCAAAGCTCAGCAATTGTAAGAGAGAGAGTGCTACCGCCATTCAAATTCCTCTTTCTTTCTCTCTCCTCTTTTTTGATTTTCCCTCCGTGAATGTCAAAGGTCGCTCTACTCTAACCCTAATTCTTCGATATTCCTTCGATTTTCATTAATGGCGTCAATGGCTCTTCGCTGTTTGTCATCTTCTTCTTCTTCCTCTTCTTCTACTTCCTTTTGCCCTACTTTTGCCCCGCCTCCTCGCTCGCCGCCTTGTCGCATCTCTCTTCCTTTTTCCGTTGTAAGTCTTTTTTTTTATTTGTTAATTTAATTTTTTTTATGTTATTTTTTATATTTTCATTTTATTTAGTTTATTTGTTGCGATTTAGATGAATGTATCAACTATGAAATCCAGAAGTGGTGTTTCTGATTTCTGATGATTTTTTCTTTCTGTTTAGGTGTCAGTTTGGTATAATGCATGGTATTGCTTTTTTTTTTGAAGTATGTTATAATTCATAATTCAACTTTATAATTTTCATGAAGTTTGTGCAATAAATTGATGATTAATTGAAGAATATTATAATTCAACTTTATAAAAATTGCAGTTATGGAAGCTGATTGAATTATATTTTTGTAATGTATTTTTTTATAATTTATTTTTAAGTCTTCAATTAATGATAACACTTGCTCTTGAATTTTAATTTTTAATGCTCTTATTTATTTCGGAGTTAATAGTGACATATACTGTATTATTTTTAACCATTTGGAAAAAAAAATGTCACTTTTCATAAACTAGTATCGGATTAAAACTGTTTTTTGTTTTTATAATTGGTTGTATAAGATGAGTGATGTGAAGTAAAGGCTCGAAATCTCGAATCGAGCAATCCGGTTATAATCAACAATCTTTACTTTAAATTGTGTTTTAAGCTTAGTTATGAGGAAGCAGGACAGGTTTAATCAGTTAATTCCGGTTGAATTCATGATTTGCTTTTGTGATATGTTGTAAATGTGTAACACTGCCTTGTATCTCTTGTAGAAATGTAATGGTTCGGAGCCGTTGAAGACGGTTAATGGACGACCATCAGTCCCAATCCTGGACGAGCAGTCGCTGCCAAAATTCCTGCACTCGAGACGCTTGGAGAATTCTGTAAATAGGAGTAATACAAGGCTGAAACTGTTTTCAGGGTTGGCAAATCCTGCTCTGGCTAAGGTCAGTTCATAGTTAATATCATTGTCATTTTAATTTTCATGTTTCTGGTTGAAAGGTATGCTTAGGTTGGTGTCTATAATCCCTATATTTGTTGTCTTACTTTTGTGTAATCAGTGTACTTTGTCGGTTTTATCATTTTGATACTGGTTGTGGTAGGAAATTGCTTGGTATATGGGTCTGGAGTTTGGAAAGGTGAAGATAAAACGGTTTGCAGATGGCGAGATTTATGTGCAGCTAGAAGAGAGTGTCAGAGGGTGTGATGTATTTATCATTCAACCAACAAGCCCTCCGGCAAATGAAAATCTAATGGAGCTTTTAATTATGATAGATGCTTGTCGTAGAGCATCAGCCAAAAATATCACCGCAGTGATTCCATATTTTGGATATGCTAGAGCAGATAGGAAGGCAAGTAATTCTTTATTTTTCGACAATGAACTCCCTTGTTTATTTCATCTATTGGTATTCTTGGTATATTTATTGGGATTTAAAACCAAAATCAAGAGATTTTTGTGATTTGAGTCGACTATTGGTGTGAATCTGGTTCAGTTGATGTGCTTTGCAGGTTGGATTTACCAGTGTCAAGTTATTTATTTACCTGACTTACTATGTGTCATTTTGTCTATGTCACATCCTTTTGAGGTTCATGCCTCAAAATTTATGATGTCTCCTGTTGGGTACTTCCTGTGATTGAAGAATAGAAAACCATATTGTCTGAGTCTACCTGTTTATTTCAGACTCAGGGCCGTGAATCCATTGCTGCCAAACTAGTTGCAAATCTCATTACAGAGGCAGGTGCTAACAGGGTGCTGGCATGTGATCTCCATTCTGGGCAATCGATGGGATACTTTGATATTCCTGTAGATCATGTATACTGTCAGGTAACGATTGATGATTTTGAGTACATGCATTGATGAATGTTGGTGACATCTAGAGATGATCATTTGCAACTTCTGATGCTTTTATTAATATGCATGCAGCCCGTGATACTTGATTATCTAGCCAGCAAGGGTATCGCTTCAAGTGACTTGGTTGTAGTTTCCCCTGATGTTGGAGGGGTTGCAAGGGCCCGTGCATTTGCCAAAAAGCTGTCTGATGCACCTTTAGCTATTGTGGATAAAAGACGGCATGCACACAATGTAGCTGAGGTGATTTTTATTTTTAAATAGTTCTGTTTGGAATTTGAATGATCCAGCATATCAGTAAAGTATTTTTTTTTTTTTTATATTTGTCTTTGTATTACTAGTATTGTTTTTTTTGGAAGTTGGAAGACCTTTGGCTGATAAGTGATAGAGTAGTGAGCTTTCCTTTTGTTATTGTCAAGTGCTTAATATTCTAGCTGTTATGGGCAAACACTATTATTCCAAGGCTTTAGATGATTGAGTCATCTTCAAATATCAGAATCTGTGCCTCCTTCATAGGTTTCATCCACTACATGCTATTAAAAAATTATGACTTCATACTTGGTTCATCCTTGTGCATATCACAATCCACATATATGTTGACTGCTTGTGATTATAATTTTTATGTGTCTACTCATATATTTATCTTGTTGGATATTCATTAAGGTAAAGTAACATACGGCGCTTTTACCTGAATTAATGTGGTGCAGGTGATGAATCTTATTGGTGATGTGAAAGGGAAAGTTGCTGTTATGTTGGATGACATGATTGACACTGCTGGTAAGTTGTTCTGTAAAAGGATATATTTAGCGACTTACATTGTTTTATTCACGGCTTGAAGTAGTTTACATGATAAATTTCAGTTTTTACTGTTGTTGTGACAAGTTATCCTTTGCTGCATAATAAGTTAAAAGTCTCGCAAATCTCGACTTATTTTTTCTTGAAACTCAGAAGTGCTCAAAGGAATTCAATGCTCATTTTCTGCTTAGATGTTTTTATATAGAGGGCTTTGTTTCCGTGTTTGTTTATGATTTTTATTAAATCCACCTAATATAATACGGACTAGTAATTTGTCTATAATAGCATGTTTCGTTAGTAAATGTCTGTACCATTGCTCATTGCCCATGCCATGGGTCGGGGGATCTGTATGAGCAGTTGACAATGCTATACAATATTTGGTCTAACTTACTATTTTATGGCCAGACTTTTTGTCTTTGTTGAAATAATAGCACCACTTAAAGGTTTTGGGACAGCTGGTTAATCTTTTGATTTTGGGTCTTTGAGTGCTAAATAATTTTGGCATTTCTTAAAATTTGGTGTGAAAGTATTGTTTATGTAATTGATATGAGAACTAATGAAAAATTTGACTGTAGGTACCATTACAAAAGGTGCAGAATTGCTGCATGAAGAGGGGGCTAGAGAAGTCTATGCTTGTTGCACTCATGCTGTTTTTAGGTAAGAATTTTTTATATTTAAAATTTAAGTTTCTGTATTGTGAAGAGGTTTTAAACTTTTTAGTGTGAGTTGTAAAACAACCTCACCACTATTAGCTAGTCCCTGAAAAGGCCTGTTTCATTAAGAAATTTGGATTCTCTTAAGGCTGCATACAACTGATCACTCCTTTGGAGATGCAAGTTTTAACATTGATGTGTTGTTATTCTGTAAAGAGGTTCACTGAATTGCCTTTTCTCTTCTGAGTTTGTTCTTTAACTCTGTGAACCTTGGTTAGTATTATCCTATGACTCGTAATCAAGTACTAGATGATGTATGCGAAGTTGCGAACTCTGTAATTAACACCTTTTATTAGTCACGACTCACTAGAGTTGCTTGACGACTCCATTGTCTCTCCTTCGTTGTTTTCTTGACAAGTCGTCCATTTTTAAGGCTTTACATTCATCAGAAAACTTGTGCCAAGAGTTCCTTTAAATGTGTTTGTTCCAGTACTGGGCATTTGAGTTGCAAAATGATTACGTTCGATGCTTTGAAAACTCTCATGGTCTTACAAGTTTGGTCCATCATAGTAAATCACATGATATATGCATCACCACTTAAGCAGTTGCTAATCTGATCTATTGATGTTTGTTTTGCAGTCCACCAGCAATTGAGAGATTGTCCAGTGGTTGTTTCCAGGAAGTGATCATAACAAACACACTTCCAGTGGCAGAACAGAACTTCTTCCGTCAGCTGACTGTTCTTTCGACAGCAAACCTTTTGGGGGAAACCATTTGGAGGGTTCATGACGACTGCTCCGTTAGCAGTATATTTCAGTGAAATTAGTCAGTTCTTTCGACAGCTAACCTTTTGGGGGAAACCACTTGGAGGGTTCATGACGACTGCTCCGTTAGCAGTATATTTCAGTGAAATTAGTCAGTCCACCAACATAGTAGCGTATCCTATAGAGCCAAATCTTTTGTAGGTGCCATCTGTTTCTTTGGTGTCCTCATTAGTTTCTTGCCTTCATAAAAATACAGGGTCGATGTAAGCTAGTTATTATTCGATGTAGTACAAAGAGTAGCATAAATATTGTCGGATCAAGTTCCCCACTTCCCCTTGGGTGGTAACAGGCATTCCTAATTATTTAGGATTGCATTTGTATATTTTTAGTGTCGCTTACAGTTAAATTCTAGATTTGAGTTCAAGCCCAAGGTTTATTTTTTGTTGCATTTTGAATGATTTGTGACGCTGAGATCAATTTTATATTTTTCGAAAATAGAGCTAAATAAAACTGAATGATAATTACTCGGCAGCAAAAGATTTCTAATGTGTCTCTACAATATTCAATACAGTATTGATTACGTATGGCCTATATCTGGCCCAATGACAAGCTATCTAAGCTGAAACTAAATCAAGTGATCCATCAGCCCAAATATGACCTAATTCAAATGATTCCGTTGCTACAAATATTTTTAATTCGAAGTTGAATGGGATATCAACTAGATTCAGTTGGTTTTTGGTCTTGGAGAAGTCAGCTAATTCACAGTGAGGCCACACCAATTAGTCTTCCAGAGTCCTAAATTGAATTTTGTTAGGATGTGATTATGTGATTCTACTTGCTTATTTTCCACCTTAGCGAGTCAACTCTACACACTAGTACACTACGCTTGTGGAAACTTTTGACGACAATGCGCCATTATAACTCCTAAATTTATGACATAACATTATATATCATATATCACTAATAAATAAAGTCGGTCTCGCAGTCAGGTCATGAGACAACGACACTTGACATTCTAGTTTTTCGCCAAGTAAGCGATTTTTGGATAGATTTTTTAAGATAACATTCTAATATTTCATATATGCAAAATTAATCCTAACTTTTAATAAATATCTTATAACTCAATTCTATTTCTATCATCAAATTCGTTTTAAAAAGTTCTTTAAATTAAGATCCATTTATAATATATTTAATCATAAGCTTTTATACGTAGTTGGCCAAACCGTGTCACCAATTATTACAAGAGTTACTTCGTTAGTGCTATAGGGGTTACTCGGTTAGTGTTAAAGTGGTTACTCAATTAGTGTTATAGATAGGGGTTACTTAGTCAGTGTTAGAGGTTATTCAGTTAGTATTAAAGGGATTACTCGGTCAGTTTTATAGGGGTTACTTTGGTATGGCTATCCGCATACAAAATGCATTGTTATTTAATTTATTTTAAAAAATATTAGAGAATCAGTAAAAATAAATTGTAATCAGTAAAATAATTTTAATTTGGTAAAAATACTTTCAATTCAGTGAAAATAATTTAAGTTCAATAAAAATAATTTCAAGTCAATAATAACATAGATATCTATTTACAAACAAAAACTATAAAAAATACAATCCATATGATATCATATGTTTAAATATCCTACCTTATCAGAACGAATTATTTAACCGTATTTAACATTCAAGTAAAAATGTTATCATAAAATTTTATCAACTATCTGGGCATCGCCCGGGTACAAAACTAGATAAATATTATTGTGACACATATGATGCTAGATAAGCGAATTCTAGATAGATTTTGTAAGATAAAAATATCGTATAGAGTTTTATTGTCGATATACTTCTAATATTTCGTATATACAAAATTAATCATAACTTTTAATAAATATCTTATAATTCAAATCTATTTCCATCATAAAATTCGTTTTAAAAAGTTCTTTAAAATAAGATCCATTTATAATATATTTAATTTATTTAAAAAATAATAGAGAATTAGTGAAAATAAATTTTAATCATAAAAAATAATTTTTGCTTTGGTAAAAATAATTTCAGTTCAATAAAATATATTTCAATTCGGTATGTCTAAATATCCTACATTATTAAAAGAGATTATATGATCGTATCTAACATTCAATCCAAAAAGTTAATTCTAAACTTTTATCAACCATTTGGGCATTGCTCGGGCACAAAACTAGTAAATATATATAGGTTAGATGAAGGGCCCTATCGAGCCGGAATCCCTCACGGATCAACCCAACCCGAGTTAGTGGGTTAGACAATTTGGGAGAGTAGGAGGTAAGGGAATCATATCCCCCAAATTGTCATTACAGGGGATTGAACCTCCAACCTTATAGTTGAAAGGTACTCTCCTTTCCATTAGACCAAACTTAGCTTGATAAGTCCTGATATAACATTGCCTTGATAACGGAGTAATTCATATTATTAGGATTTTTCCTAGGTATTGTTAAGTGGTCACATTGTCATAATTCACAAAATCACTATTTACGAGAAGAGTAAGAACATATATTCTTAATCTGGAATAAAGTTTTTTTTTAATATGAATATAAGTTATAATATGGTGTTATGTAATTATATAGTCTTATTTGATCAAATTGATTTCCTAATTTAACTGAACTTTGATCATATACTACTACTAATAATAACAATTGATATCTTGTTAGACCTATATAAGTATATTTTAAAAAATCAAATAATCATATATTACGTATATAATTTTATAATACAAGTAATGAGGCCTTGTTCACTTCACCTTATTTTTGTTGAACTGAAATTAATATTATTAAAATTAAATTATTTTTACCGAATTTAAATTATTCTTAATGAAATTAAATAAATTTATTTTTTGCTAATTGATTTTTGTTGAATTAAATTATTTTTACTAATTCTCTATCATTCTACAAAAAAGTAGGGTGAAGGCAAACAAATCTCACATTCTCACCCATAAATTTTAACCAAGTTTAGCTTAATGGGCCAACATTCAAGGGATCAACAATACAGGCCGGACCCAAAACCCAACATAAACCTCGAATCAGGGTTTCCACTTCACTCTATTTAGGGTTTTAGGGTTTATAAATAAATCGTCTTCCTCAGTTTCAATCAAACAATCAACTGAATCTCCATTTGTAAAACTCAATTTTCTCTCTCTTCAACAACCTGGTTCGTATCTCACATTTTCTGAACTATTCGATATTTAATTTCTGTTTATTGTTTAAAATTTCGCAGCAATGAGGAAAAACTTCGTGTCCAGAGTTGGTCTTCTACTGAATTCCTTCTATGACGGTAAACACAACCTCTAAGAAGTTCTGAGCTCAATTTCATCGATTTAACTTTCAGTTTTCTCTTCCAATTTCATTTCAAACCTTTTGATTTATTTGTCGAAATCTAGGGTTTCAAATTTCCCAATTCAATTGGGAAAAAAAACAGACGAGATGACGATATATATTCATAGTCTGTCAATCCCCTGATTCCAGTTTACTGGGTTTGATGACACAATGAATCCCGACAGGTTCTGATCGTCTTTCAATTTCTCTTAAAATTTCAATTATTTTTTTCTCTTCAATTTAATCGTCGCTTTTAAAATGTTGGGGTATATGATGAATCCCATTTATCTAATGGGTATTTTGCGTCTGAAATTCTGTGATGCTTTTTCACCTTGGAGAACTGATCCCCTTTTCTTAAACTATCTTTTCATTTTTCAGTAAAAATCGTATCCTTTTGTTTTATAAAAACTAAAAATTTTGATGGGTGAATTAATTTGATTGATCTTTAATTGTATAAACTGGGCAATTGATGAATCTATATCGTTCAAATGGGTAATTTGCGTCTGAATTTTATTGATGCTAACCATGAAAAGCTGATGCCTTTAAATTTTTTTAATTCAAGATTTCGTTTTTGTTACTTAGGATTTGAAATGCATATTTATGGGTCAATGATGTCTTTTTAGTACTGAAAATTCTGAAATATTTAATGTTGATAAATTTCAAAATGCTGAGATCCCATCAAATTCTCTCATTTTAAATTAATTGTTTTTGATAAAAGTAAATTTATCGTTGATTAAAGATTGCAATGAGGATAACAAGCTCCCTCTTCCGAGTTAAAGCTGAAGACAATTGCTGGCAGAATCGAACCAATAATATCAGCCACTACTGAGCAATCTCAATTTAATACTGTATTGAAATCTTAATTTTTATAATACAAACTATAATGTTGTAAGTGAAGCATCATGTGATGAGATTGGAAAATATCTTAGGACACCTTCCAACACAGCCTAATTTGGCTGTGAATGAGAAAGAAAATCCTTTCTGATGATGCTCTTCACTTTTTAGTTTTTACCATTGACAATGTGGGTAGTTGTTTGTTGTATCTGGTCATTGTTTGCAAATAAATGTGGGTATGGATACTATACATTTTGATATCGCGTTCGAAACCGAGTGATGAAGAATATAAATTAGGACATTGCTATTGTGGTCTGTATATCAATCACATTTCGAACTTTAAAGTCAAATGAATTTGGCAATGAGGATGAATTAGCACAGCTTTAATGCCAGTTCTGCTTCAGAAAATTTTTGATTGAAAAGCTGTTTCATTTCCTGAGCTAAATGAACTTCAAATTTAAATATGGGATTTTGTTTTTATATAGCACTTAAGTTGTTCTTTGAACATCTTTACGGAATAACATCAGGTTTATTAAAGGATGTAAAGAGATTACAATGAGGATAACAAGCTCCCTCTTCTGAGTTAAAGTTGAGGACAATCGCTGGCAGAATCGAACCATTAATACTAGCCACTACTGAGCGATCTCTTGTTGCATCTACATTCTTTAGAAAATCTTTTAAACTTGTTTTGTAACTAATAGTTGAGCTTCATGTGAAGAGTTTGGAATATTATCTTAGGACACCTTCCAACACAGACCTTTTAGGCTGTGGATGAGAAAGAAAATCCGTTCTGATGATGCTTTTTACAATTGTTGTAATTGATTTGTATAAACTGTGTGACATAGTGTATGCTGTGGATACCTACATTTCGTTTTGTTATAATAAGATTATTGTCGTAAAGAGTCATCTCGATCTTTTTTAAGTGATATGTTGAAATAATACGGTATAGCAGTTGATTGTACTACTTCGTCTCTTATTTACAATGGCCATTTCTTCGCAGTTGCACTCTTAAGTTGCAACTTGCAAGTAACCACTGTGTAATCTGCATGTTGCAACCCGGGCTTCTCTGAATAATAGAAGTGACGAATGCCAAGCCCCAATGCTTGTGCCCATATCGCCCTTCAGGTTGCAGTTCAGCTGCCTCTTAATGGCTGTTTTGTGTCTATTCAATGGCTAAATCATTCTCTTTAACTTGATAGAATCAAAATTAATCTAGTTTTCATTTTGAAGAATTTTAAGGCCATGATTACATATTTATCCGCGCTTTTGAGATTTACACGATGAGGTACAGGATTAAATTTGGTTGAATTTCTTGATATGAGCCTATGAATCCTTCACATTATACCATTCCAATAAGCTTTAATTCACTACGTCTATATTCAACAACTCGTATTTTGCAATGAAGATTTATTTGGCAGTTTTGAATGGCAGCTCTGCACTTTCTGCTTCAGAAGATAGAAAAATTGTTTCATGGACTTTTTAAGTATTGAGTATATTGTATTCAAGCATTCACAAATCTACAATTCTTCCTAATTTCACCCTTTTCCCCTGTTAACACATTAATATTGCCCATCTTAATCATTGAACTAGCAAAAGAATCAAAGAAAAACTCTCTGTTAGAGGCGTATGCCCAAACTCTCTGTTGTATATCTCCACCTTCGTCTTCAAGGACTAGCACATTATCTGAGTGTAACAGTCCCTTTGATTCAGCCAAGTTTTCGTAGTAATGGTTATCGAAAAATGTTGGTGTACTATAATCAAGGGGTGTTAGCACATTATCATTCCCTGATCTTGGGCATATTGAACTCAGGGTTTCCTGGAAGCTTGAAAACCTTTCGTAGATGTTTTCTTGAAAACCAGCGTCATAGATCCTTTGCCTGAAACTTACACATCTTGCCACCCCCATAGTATGGCTTCCTGTCGCGAAAAGTTGCTTGATTGTTATTAGATTGACATACACTATATTGAATTATACTAAATCCTCAAATGGCTTAAGCAAATGGATTACCTGATAACGCGACCAAGTCTTTGGTGTCCAAACCTTGTTGCTTAAAATTGGCAATGAGAGCATCTAGTGATAAGTTTGGAGTTGGGATGAACTTGTTTGCACCATCAAAGCTAGCTGTTAAGGAGTCTCTTCTGCCAAGCCAAACTTCCCACGATGGCCCTCCTCTCTTCAAAGAACCAAAACATTATGAAATTATAAACTTGTACTTGTTGAGCTCCAAGTGAAGCAGGGATATCTACTATTGTGTCGAATTTAGAGGTGGCTAACGGGTCATTTAGATTGAGTAAAACGAGCTTGTCTTAGCTTGTCAGTTTGGATCTATTGAATCTTTTGTCAGTGTTATTATGATACTCCGTATTGTATAATTTTATCACTTAAAATTCTATGCTATTATTGTTGGTCATATAATTTCTAGAGTAGCTTGGAACCGGATCTGGTGATCATGTATGTGATGAAAATATTAAGAGGGGTTAGAGGATGTACCAGAACAACAGAATCACGAGCAGCAATGGCAACAATATCAGCACAAGAGACTGTCCATGGACACGCTTTTTCTACTGCAGACTTAATATCATCAATGACCTCAAAACCTCTGAGTGAATCCTTGTTTGGTTTTGCTCCCTTTTCGCTAACAATCCCACCATTGCTGTCCAACAATACCGATCCATCACATCCCTTAAACAAATTTAATAGGGTGCAAAAGAAAGACACCCATAATGATTAGCGATAACTCAATCTTCAATAATAATACTTGGAAGTTATTAGGTGGAGTTTATCACCTGAAGTTACCTGCACAAAACAATCATGGAAATGCAGCCTCAGTAATTGAGCCGCTACTCGAGGCTCCCTTAGCACTTTAGTCTTCACAACGTACCTCACAATCTCTTCCAATAAAGGGCAGGATTCCTTGTAATAGTCAAGCAGAAGATTTTGGCTCGAGATTTCGATGCAATTCATTACAATCAAAATTACCAAAAGTAGTTTCATGAAGGCCATTACAGTTTAAAAAATGGTAAGAAGTTAATTGGAATTTCAATGTTAAGATCTTTATGCTATGTATATAACTAATATAAGTAATTACCAATTGACATATTTTAGAAGAAAGTAATTATGTTTTGTAATGTTTTACATGTCTTATATGTATGAATTCAAACCAAACTCCATTGTTGATGGGATTTGCTTTGGTTCTTGGTTCTTGGGCTTGAGATTGAGTATAGTATAATATTTCTGTGCTGTATTTTTTGTCTGCATTTTGCTACTCTGACCTGCATATATAGTAATATTTCTGGAATCAAAGTTTGATGTAGCTAACTTTACCAAACGTTTGAGTCAAAGTAATATAATGTGTGCTCAATTTGCTCTTAACGTCTTTTTGTAACCAATCTTTGTTTAAACAATCTCTCTAACATAGCTTCACACGCACTCATATGCTCACTAAAACACTATGAGCGGGTTCAATTGATGTTACATTTTGATTTTTACTACAGTACTTTAATCATGTTCGGCCATTAATTTTTTGGCGGAAAATATACACACTCATAATTTACTAAGTATAATAAAAAACTTACGGAGAACAATGATGGGTACTCAAAATAAAATTCGTATCATCATTAATTCGAGTATGATGTACTAATTAAATTGCAAACCAACATTATAGACTTAGTTGTTGTGAAGTTGTTGATCTTCAAACACAAACTACTTGAGTTAATGCAGTTAACAACTTCCACTTGCATAGTTGTATTTAATCACAATAGTAAGGTGACCACATCTAACCACCCTAGCATTTTCTAGTGGGAGCTTCATTGAAAGCCACACAGTAAGTAATCTAATAATAACCAACTGATATAGTGATATGTATGCAACAGTGCTAAAATGCTCACTTCCTTTATCCGCCTCTCCAAGAATCGAAGAGCTAAGTTGTAAACGAAAGCGATGGAAATTAAACTCGAACCAAGAACGAACAAACGATATATATATAATACAAGCTCACAAGTAGTACAGATTTTACAAAACTGGTGCACCTGCATACTACTCCAAGTACATTATTTACGTTACTTTCTGTTTCGGTTGAAAACAATGGGACCTTGCCGAAGGTCCGTTGAAATGGAGAAGACTGGATTCGATCCAAGTTGTGTTGGGCCGAAGGTTTCCTGCACAGTGAACACACGTAAACTAGCCTCGGGGGTGTTTCCGAGGAAGGCCCCTCCGATGCTAAAGTCAGTATAATGTGTAAAAGGAAGACACTATGCAAGAGAGTTTGTAGCTTGAGGCTTTTGTGGGATATTTCTGAATGCAAGAATGAGCATACGAATTGGAATATCAATGATCATATGTCATAATGTATCTGATCTCCCCTTGAATGTGTTAATATGAGGGCTTTTATACCTCATCATACTTGGAGAGGTTGGGCTTTAGCCCAATTGGCTTACTTTGTGGGCTGACTTTTGACTTTTGAGCAATTGGAGAGTTGAACCTTGACCTTGGGCTTTTAATTGGATCATTTAGTGCTCAGGCCCAATTTTGACTAAATTGGACCCAAACAACTTGCCCCCCAAACCCGATTTGGAAGAATGACGGGTCGGGTTTGATTTAACTCAGAAAAGGAGGGAAGTAAATGATTTAATTGATCCAAAAATTTGAATTTAAACCGTAATTAATGAGATAACAACGGTTAATGATTTGCGGAAGTTGGACGGATAATGGGCGGTTTAATCACAAGACATGTGTTTAATGGTTACTTAGTGGGTACTTAAGAGAAATTAAAGCACAGACTCTTCGTATCCCGTACCTGGAGATATAAACAGAGGCGCGTCATTCTCCTCACTTATTCACCAACACAAACCCAGAATTCTTCGAGAGAGAAACCAAGAACCCGCATCAAAACTTCGCAAATTCCCCCGAGCATTGAGCTTAGAAACTGAGACTTGCCACTACGAACTCGTAAATCGGCAACTTTCGCTTCAGATTAAGGTAAATTCCTTTGATTTCAGTTTATTTTTCTTCGAATTCGAACTCCTTCCCCTTTTCTTTCGACTTTTCTCTTCGAAATAATCCATGGCAAGAGGAGTTAGAGGTAGAGCCCGTGCTCCAAGAAGAGCAAGGCCGATTCCCGATCCTAGGAATAGGATTGGGACCTGGAATGGTCAAAGGCCGGAGTCTGACCCTGCTGAAGGGATTAGGGCGACTCCCCTTTCCTCGGCTCCTCCTCAAAGAACGGATGAGCCGAGTGCTTCTGGACTGGACGATGAAATTCCCGCTGTCCTTTGGGATATCCTCCCTGGGTTTTCAGAGTGGGAGAATGCCGAAGTCGCTTCGGCCATGATAAAGAACCGCCCCTACTCATGGTGGGTAGAGAACGCCGATCAATATCGATTTGCTGAGCAAATTGAGTTGCACTACGGCATTTTTGAAGCTGATGGATATTGGTGCCGAATGCCCTCAGCATCCGATAGAATCCATCGTCCACCCCCGGGGTATGTGGGGGTGTACACGAGACAGCTTCAGTATGGGCTGAGGTTCCCTTTGGACGTTTTCGTCCGAGACTTGCTGATCCATTACAACATTTCCCTATGTCAGCTAACCCCCACCAGCATCCGAAGGGTGATGACATACTTATGGGTCTGCAAGTTCTTCAAATACGTGCCGAACCTGCACTGCTTCAGAAAGCTCCATCGGCTAGTGCCAAATATTCAGAGTGGGCACGGAAGCCATGGTTCTGGGTGGTATCGGATTGAGTCCCGGCCCCAATACTTGACCATGTGGCCAAATGACTCTTCAGACAAGGACTGGAGAGGTCAATGGATTTGGGTTAGGGCACCCATAGATCCGGGCCACCCTTGCGTCTTCAGCGCTCCCCGGTACTTAGCTGAGCCTGATCCCGAAATGGGAAGTCTAGGTCCCCCGCAGATAACGGGGCGGATCCGAACCTGGATCAGCAACATATCTTCGGCAAGCTGCCGAACCCGGGGGGGAGTGGTCGAATGTAGCATATCCCGGAGACTTGGCTCCCCGATACGCATTACGTTTTCCAAGAGAATATGCTAGCAGCTGTTGGCCTCAGCCGAAAGTTTAAGGATGGTAAGCTTCTTCGGCTGGGGCCGAGGCTTTTAACTACCTCTTTTTCTTCTCTCGCTTTGCTTTTTTATGCTGTGCCAACATATCTGAGCTAAACTTTTTCCCTTTCCTTTTTTCAGAGCGGGACGAGACCAACGTTGGTATTAACTACGCTCGTCTTGGTGTTAACCGAGAGCGAGTTGTAACTGAACGGGCCCCGTCTATCACTGAGCCGAGGCATAGGGAAGTTCATCTGGACTCTTCCCACTTCCAAATTGAGGCTGTTGCTCTGTATCAGAGGCAGAAGCCTTGGTGGAAGAAGAGAGACCCTTGGTTTCAGCTGCTGAACGAAGAAGCTGAAGCTGCCCGCACAGCCGAAGAGGTTGCACGGGTACTTGAGGCTTGTGAAGGAGGAGAAGGGTCCTCCAGAGCTGCTGAAGCCGAAGCTGCAGCTGAAGAAGACGAGGCTTTGCTGAAAACCTCGGTGAGTTTTCAGACAACTTTTTTTTTTTTTTTTTTTTTTTTTTTTTTTTTCTTTACTCACACTCTTCTTCCCCCCTGTCTGTTACAGTCTGAAGAGAGTAACAGACACAGAGAAGGCAAAGCTCCTGTTCGTCCCGAAGATCAAATACAAGAGTCTTCAGACTCAGATATGGACGAGCAGCCCCTTCTGAAAAGGCGCCGAAGGATGGCCATCATCGGCCCTCATGATTTTCAGCAGAGGCCGATGACCATCGGCGTCGCAATAAGGGAACCTGAGGAAGGCAATGGATCGCCGAGGGTTCCCCAGCCAACACCCCAATCTCCTCAAAAGACCCCTCCGCCACCTCCTGAGATGGAGGTGGATCAGAGAACTCCCGAACCTAAGGGAGGGGTCCAAGAAGAAATCAAGAAGAGTGCTGCTGAGCACGAAAATAAAGATGCCGTGATGTCCAGTGCTGAGGGCTTCACGGCAGATATCGCCAGAGAGGTTGAGGCTTTCGTCCTCACCCCTGAAGAAGAGGAGGTCATAGTACTTGACTCCTCTGAGAAGGATGATGCTGAGACAACCAAAGCTAATCAAGCTCCATCGTCGTCCTTCCCTTCTTTCCAGACTCTGCATTCTGGAGAAATGGGTTTCTCGGCCCCCCGAATTCCAATCCCAGATCACATCTGGGACCTCATATGGGGTCAAAACCGAGAAGGAGCTGAAGCCTACTTCGGCAGTTTTGCTGGCATGTCCGAAGTAGACAGGGCAAGGATCTGGTCGCTGAAGGCCACTGCTGGGATGGGCGAATCCAGTAGATCAGTTCCTGACCCAGCCAGGTCTAACCAACTGCTGATGATGCAGGTAATTTTCCTTCATTTCCTCCGAAATTCAGCTCTATTTTTTTCTTATTACTTATTTTTTTTTTGTCTTCCTGTTTTCAGTTCGTGCACAATCAGACTCTCACTGTAGAGCTGATTGATACCCTACAAGATAGGGTAGACGCTGCTGTGCACGAAAGGAAGGTGGCTGAAGAGGAAGTTAAGCTTGCTAAGCTGAAGCAAGCAGCAGCTGAAGAGAAGCAGCAGGAGGTTGAGGAGTACGGTAAAAAAGCTGCCGAAGCTCTGAAAACCTTCTGCGATGCTATGGAGATGGAGGTTTTTCCCCCACTGATGGAAGGGGAAAAATTCCTCCAGGAGCATATGGGAGTGGACGTCTCCAAATTCAAGGCTGCTATTGAGAGCCGAATTCAAGAAGGAACTGCTGCACAAGCTGAAGTACAGCAGCGTCTAGAGGCTCTTGAAGCCAGCCGAATGGCTGCTGAAGAGTTGCTCCTGGCCAAAGACGTCCAACTCTCAGAGGCTGCTGCTGCTGCTGGAGCTCAAAGAGCTAAGTTCCAAAAGGCTGAGGATCAACTGCTGATCCAGAAAGTTGAAGTGGCCCAGGCTCAGACAAAGGCTTCCCAAATTCAGCAAGAGCTGAATGAGCTGAAAGGCTCCTCCTCCCAAGTCGCTGATGAGCTGAAGAAATCCAAGGAAGACTTGGAGGAGACCCAGAAGAAGCTGGCTGATGCTGAGGCTTTACTCAAAGTCCGTGTCTATACCCAAGAGGAATATGAGATGGGTTTCAGAAACGGATTCCGAGTATGCCGAAGAGTCTGCCTTCATGCTGAGCCGAAGCTGGACTGGTCTAAATGTGCTGAGTGGGTCCAGAATCCCGAAGACCCTCACATGAAGTTTGCAACTCCAGCTGAAGCTGAAATTCTTAAGGCTGAGGAAGCCGAAGAGGAAGCTGAAAGACTGGAGTTGGAAGCTGAGCAGAGGGAAAGGGAGGCTCGGCAAAGTGCAAAGCCCGCCTCTTCTGCTGCTGGGGCTGAGGCCACCATGGGACTCAACGCTGATCAGTCTGATCCGCCGGCTGAAGCATAGGAACTCGGGCAGTCGTCTTCAGAATCTTGCGGTTCATCATGTGCTTAACTTTAGACTTGCCGCTTTCTGAGTTTTTTGCCTTGTTTTTTGCTTCAGCTTGCCTTGTCGTACAGCAGTTTTATTTTTTTGCTTATGTACGTATTTCGGCAGCTGTTATTTTCCGCTTGTGGGCGGCTGCCGATACTGAATTATTGAACTTGTAGCTCAATTTTTTTCTTCAGTTGCTTTATTTTTGAATGCTTTACTGTTTCTTTTCTTCAACTCTGCCGAACATAGCTGCACTGCGTGCTTCTTGCCCCCACAGAAATTGAAGTATGACTTTAGTTGAATAAGCAATTTCTGAACTTCTTCAAAATGGATATCCGAAACACAGGGCCAACTGAAGGCAATGCTTCTGGGATACAAGTCTTACTGAAGATTGACTGTCTGAAAGTTGGATATCCGAAACACAGGGCCAACTGAAGGCAATGCTTGGGATATTAGCTTTCTGGGACTAACCTCTTTAGAACAAGTCTTACTGAAATTTGACTTCAGCTGAAAGACCAGCGTTCTTAAAGAAGACGCATATCCGAAACACAGGGCCAACTTGAGGCAATGTTTCGGATAATGGCTCTCTGGGATACAAGGCTCAGTTAAGGCAATATCCCAGAATTGTCCATGGACTCATGTCTTTGGAGAACAGGTCTTAC